GGCGGCGTCGCTAGGGGGGTTGCAACTTTTCAGTTGGTGAACTAGCCATCTAGCTCTGACCTCGGGGTGAGTTTTTTTCCAAGTTTATTTTCATATTCTAGGGTTGTCGAAATGTGAAACAGAATCTGACAAAGCATTTTAGGATTGCCACATAGTCTAAACAGAGTTGGGGTCTTTGACTTAGCCTAGCAAGAACATCTTGTGGTGTGTGTGTGTGTGTGTGTGTGTGTCCGGTTTGCCCCGTTCCTAAAAGCTGCCCAGGGGAACGTTCTCTTTCGGGTCCAGCTTTGGAATCGCCTTTTCCAGCGATGTACTTTGGGTTGCTTGCTTACATGTTTCTGTCTTTTTTGTTCCCTTTCAAAGAAGGTTCATGGCAACATCCATTCCGGGGCACCCCCACGCATTGGGCGTACGGCCTATCGCCGCGCGCCCGAGAAACAGCTACCGGGGCTTCTGAGCCAAGGGCTCACTCCCTGAGCTCCGTTTCGGACTGGATCGTCAGGGGCTTTTTCGGGGTTTCTGCTGCGTTTAGGGGGCATGGTAAGGAAAGAACGCGCGCATCAACGACGGGAAACATCAAAGGGGGTGGTTTGTGGTTGCCAGGGGGTGGTTTGTGGTGTGTGTATGTTTGTGTTTGTGTTTGACGGGGCCTATTCAGATTCAGGTTGTTTAAGCCAAAAGGAACCTCTCCGTTTCCCTAGTTTTGACACCACACAGACACACGCATTCATACTGTGGATGGATGAAATCCTGCACCACTTTGAAACCATTACGAACCAATGCTGGTTGGCATTTATAGGGGAGCGTATCTTAGGTGGTGCAGGATTTCGTCCATCCACGGTAGTGTCATGGTTTCACCACGACGCCAGCGGCTTTCTGGGTCACCGGCCGCGCAGGTGGCCAAGAGGTGGCGCCTCGAGCACAGCCACTCCGTGTCCGCCATCCACAAGTCAGGCGAAGCCGGGGAGCCGTTTCGGAGGGTTCGACATGTTACGGCTTTTGCTTGGTCAGGACTCCCTGTTTGTTTCCCCTTTTGCTTGCTTGGACATCGCTTTTTGGCCAATTTCGTGCCAATCTTGCAGGGAGCTCACGCTGGCAATGCTTTTTGTCGGAGAAAGACAAGGCAAACCCCTGACCCCGCAGGCCCCATCCAGTGTTGGCACCCTTTTTCGAGGGACCGAACAGAACATGCTGTTTTGTTTTGGCTTCCTTTTAAACAGCCCAACCCACTTATACAAATTATCCTATTCGATTCTTCGCCCCTTTTGGCCCTCTCTCCAACCTTCTAAGGGTGGAGATATGTGGAGATAGCAATCAGAATGGGGTAATGTCACCGGTTCCTTGCCAACCTGTTTTCTTTGACCCCCTTTTGGCATCGCCCACGGTGGGCTCAGCAAAGGATGGAGCGGCTCCGGGCTAGGGGCTATGTTTACAACAGGTCCATGCCCCCGGAGTCCTCCGACACTTTTGCGGGCAACCGGGACTGAAGGTGCCAACAAGCCCATGCCGCTTTTGGTGCCTTGGGAAGTCAGGGCTCCCGAGATGACCTTTGGCTCTGCAAGGCCCGTTGCCTTTGGGTGAACATATTGGGACGCCTGAGGTCATTGAACAAAGCACCAAACCCAGAGGCTCACCGGGCGGAACGTGGGATGTTGCGGTTGTTTTGGGACGGCTCCGAAAATCAAACACAAAACCCCAATGCCCCCCCAACTTGCCTGCTTTTTCAACCATGTCTAAAATCCCGTTGTGTACTGTCTATAAAGCAGCGCTTGGGACTCGGGTTGGGTATTTGGTACTGGTAGTTGGGTCTTCGGTGTTTTCCTGTTCCAAGGGCCAAAGTTCTATCTGTGTGATCGGGTCGAAGGGAAGCTGAGCAACGTGACTCCTCCGGGTCTTGCAACCCGGGACCACACCTTGACCACCACCTACCACAACTGAGTCTTCTCCATGTGTGGGGTAGAGTAAATATGAAACATAGCTTAAACATCTTATTTCCTTTGGGCCAAGACACCCTAGTTGTTCAGGTGGTACGCCTGTTTCCTTGTTGCTTGCCGTGTTCCTCACTAATGGTCAGCTGAAGGGGAGTGAGTGAAACTCAAAGCGACGGGTGCCGGGTGCGAATCAAGCCGTGACGTTCGGACGAGTCCGGACGGCAGGCTCCCTGCCGGAAAGCATCACGGGCTCCCGGAGGCTGAGGATAGAGGACTTGGAGGATTAGTCCTCTGCTTGTCAAGGGCCAATACTGTTGGGTCTTCCATACGGCTTTCAGCAGTGCCAACAGTATTCTGAATTAGGAAAAATCCCGTTGCCAGGAAGTATTGTCGGAGCCTGCAAAAATTGGGGCTGTCCCATCTTGACAATAGGAGTTAGAGCTGACCTTCAGGAACATCAGGTCAGCCACTGCTAATGACTCGAAGCGGCGGCCAATGCAACGCGTGGGTGAGAGTGTCAAAACGGCTGGCCCAGTTTTGGATTCAACTGCCTAAGCCAAAGAGTGAAAGGGGACCGAATACCTTGAATGGAAAGATTGCCCACGTTTCCCAGAACCCTTTTCAATCAGTCGGGGTGGGGATGAAGGGACGCAAGCCAATTGCAAATTATTGTCCCGATTGTTGTGTGCGGCATTGTGCGACATTTGACCTGGATACAACTTTTGAACAATGACTGTTTCCACAATGTGTAGCAAGAACAACGCGCAAAAGCTTGTTCAACCACTCAACGGCAAGAAGTAAAGACTTGTTGCAGAGGGTCACTTCGAGAGGCCAACCAGAGGGCTATTGCTCAAATCGGTTTCTGCCAACGTGTTGCAAAATGCTTAACCAGCTTCCCTCCACTTGGCGGTGAGCCTGATGGTTTGGATGTTCCGAGGGTTCCCATTTAACCCCATTGCCCTCTACAAGAACCAGGGCTTCGATGATTCAAATCCAAATCCAAACCAACCCAACCACAAATCTAAGCTATCCAAACCACTTGGGGGAACCTAGCCTGATTTTGCCAACCTGACATCTATGCTCGCTCGCTCGGCTTCGGCCCTGGAAACCGCCGGAGCCGCTACCGACAGCGGAAATGGGGGCTGCCGGCTATGGAAAGCGGACCAGTGTGGTCTTAAATAGTTCGAGTTGTTTTAAGGGAACCCCAAAAAGCTCCCTTACCTCTTAACAACACAACTTTTCAACTTTTTGGGTAACATGGGCTATATGTCTGTAAAAGATTAACTTCCCCAGGGCTTGGAATTTTAAGGGGTAAGCTCCACTTGAAGGGTGGCTTTGATGGCAAAGCTCAACACTGTGCCCCCTTTGGTTTTTCCCCAGCGGATCCCAGATGTCCAGTGTCCCATGCAGGTTTGTGTCAGAATATGTGGGCCCGAACGGGGGTGGGTTTCCCTTTGGCTGGCATTCAAGTAATTCATCCAAGAGGGCAAGCCTTACAAGAAGACGCGGTAAAGCTGACGGAACCGTGGCCTGTCTCCTGCCCAGTTGCTTTTGAGCGGTCTCGTGTCAATTAGGAAGGTCACAAGTGTACGGTGCACAGGTTAAAGTCCAAGGAAAGGTACCTTTTGTAGATTTCAGAGTGCTTACCTCATTTTGCGAATGTCTAGCGGAAAGAGGAGTTGCAAAACCCCTCCTGTTGCTTTGTTTCCACCAAAATGGTGATGAATTCCAATAAGGATGACCCTCAAGAATGGTTGGTTGACATGTCTAAACCGCTTGGGAAATGACAAGGTGCTTCACACTTGCCAAGCGATTTTTACCATCAGGGGTCGCTTTGGCAAAAAAAGAAAAACAACTGATAACTGATCCATATTCTGTCAAAGGGGTCAACCTGCACAGGAGGGTTTTACAGGAGCCAGCTGACACCAGGCACGATAGGCGACTGCCCCCATTTGAATTGGTTTCGCCTTGGCTCGCGCCAAAGTCTCGCGTGCGGTCAACTCAGAACGTCTCAAAATGGATTCAGCGCGGTGCGTCGGAGCCAGTGGGTTCGTGGCCGACAAAGTCAGTTTGGTGGAAAACAAACTGTGCAATCCACTCAGTTCAGAAAAGCTGTTTGGGAAGGGAGTTGCTTCCTACTTTGCTTCTGGTACCAGTGTTTCTCATTGGAATCAGTGCCCTGCAACGGAGGTTTCTAGGTTCACCGAATGGTGATGACAACCTGAAAAGGGGGCGCTTGGAAAACCACGTCTCAAAATCAGTCCACAAAATGGTGATGTTCCTTTGGGCTTCCCATGAGACCCGAAAGAAGAGGAGACCCTTGACACATTGAGGCAAACCCCACAGAGACACCTCCTGGTAGATGGCGAGTTTGCCGAACCCCGACTGCGGTGGGTTTGTCGGAAAATACAGCCCACCCCTGAAGGCCTGGTGGTCCGGCGTATTTTGTTTTTTCAGGTTTAAGAGTAGCCTTGTTGGGGTTGGTTTAATGTTTTCTTTTTGCACCTGTAACAAGCTGACTCGTGATACAGAAAGCCACCGATTTCTGTGGTTGGAAGGGAAATCCAAGGGAAGCCACCCCCATTGTTGCGGGTTCCACTCTTCTGTTGAGATCTTGGAATGCTGTGCTGCAGATGAAAACGACAGAGCTGGGTCTGTTTCTTTGTTGAGGCCCCTTGCCCTATTTGAGGTTGGTTGAAAGGAACGTGGTGGCCCCCTAAAATAGTTGGTTTCCTTTCGGTTCCCCTGAAATAGCAGCCAAAAATGGAGATGTGACGTAGATGTTATTCAGTTTCAGTGTTTCATGGTTGTCACGTCTTCACCCGAAAGGCAAGCTGACGTGCAGGTTTCACAGAAGGGTCCCAGACCTCGGAGTTTGGCGTATCAACCATCAGGTAACCCCTAATTGGTGGGTTGGATTGGTGGTTTGGGGATTGGAACCCTTGACTCTTGTGGTGGGCACATGGGAAACCACCACCAAGCCACCATAGTCCAAGCCACCAATTTGGGGGAAGCTCAAACCAATCAACCAATCGGAGGGGGGTTTGCCCACTGTCTCAACCACCGGTTTGCTCGAAGCCACGCGACTCCGCGACGCCGAACGCCCCGAACCCGAAGTTGGCGACGCGAGCGCCGCGGCCATGCGGTGGCCTTCACGTCTGGCGCTGACGGCTTTGGGCCTGCTGGAGTTGGAGGACGGAGCGATTTGACGTGGCGAAACCTCCAGATCCATTGAGCTCTATTCACCAAGGGCTTGCCACCCTTTCAAAGCCAAGAGCAAAGTGGCTGGTTGCTTGTTTCACGACAAAAACTAAAACTTCTACAAATGATTGCTTGATGTTGGTATTTTTGAGTGCCAGCATTGTTTCTGGGGGTTGCTTTTACTGAAATCCCATTCTTCAACCAGCCTCGCTTCGGGGACAAGGGTCTGCATGCTTGAACCCATGTGCTAAGCAAAATGGACCGCCCATGCGATTCCTGAAAAACTGGATGCCCAGGGGTCCCTCGGTTTCCCCTTTTGACCTCAAGCGATCATTCCCAACCGGAAAACGGCAACTTTTGGATGGGGCATGTACAGAATTCCGTCCCAATCTTCAGGAGCAAACATGTTTGCAGCCCCAAACATGAGATTGGAGTTCCCTTTCGAGAACCCAAAGGATACCCGCCAATAAGACACCCCATGAATCCCTTGCAACACAACCTCAAAAAGGGTTGACCCAAGGATGGATGTCTTTTTGCGGCGCGTTAATCTGCAACGTGTGTCCTGAAGTGGTGCGCCTTCCGGTTCCCTTTCAAACCCGCAAGCAACTACAAAAAAGGCGCCCCTTTTTCCAATTTGGCTCCGGCTAAGATTCGGAATGCTTCGAGGGGAGTCTCCGAATGGCAAGTTTCGCCGAAACGGGGCACTGGGTTGGTTTTGTTGGTAAGGACCGGGTAGGTGGAGGCTGTTTGCAGCTTCTGGTCGCCAAGCCTGGAGTTCCCCTTAGGGACAAGCCATATTTGGAAGGAAGGCGTTTTTTCTGTGATAGTGGTCATTCCCTCAGACCCAAAAGCCTTACTCTGGGCTCATGCGCGTAGCGGCGAATGGCGTGCTTCGGATTAGGGACCTTCAAGCAACCAGTTCAAAAGGAGTTTGGTCTTTCGAGCCAAGGATCTGTCATGCAGGTCAGATGTAGGGGCATCGCCCATGTGAACCATGGCTTGTAGCCCAGTCCTTGTAGTCCCTTCATTCCGTTTGTCGAAGCTCCAAAAGCGGCGGTTTCAGTACAAGCCACCACCACTAAGTTGCAACTTTTCAAGGGCAAACCCATTGTCCCCTGCCAATCGCTCCATTCGAATTTCCTGCGAGTCGGTACCTCTTTTTGGTGGGGTTTGCAGGGAAACCAACAGGAAAACCACCAGTCCCAGGTAGGGTTTAAAGGGAAACCCACAGGAAAGCCACTCATTCGGGGGGGTTTCCCTCTTCGCCTTCCAAACAATGCGAGCAGGCCCAACCCGTAGAGCAGATCCCGGACGACGAGTGCACCGAAAGCGGCTGCGCGCTGCAAGCGCTGCAGCGACAAGGCACGGGCCCTGTGCCCAGACGCTCCGTGCAACTGGTCTTCCTGAAGTGGGGGTCCCTTTAATATCTTAAGAAAGGCTGCCATGCTTCCTTTTTCTTGGCTTCTTTGAGGGGTACCCCTTCAACGTGAACTGTACCAATGGTGTCTCCACCAAAACTCTTCTGTTTTTGGGTAGTGTAACCTGTCCTATTATGAAGGGGGTGTTCCCTCCCAAAGAAAGTGGTCTGAGTTAGCACTCAAAGAGGACACCCCGCTTTAAATCAACCAGAAGGCTATTAGCCATTAGACTAGGTATGAAGGAGAATCAGAAAGCATGAATATCTGTGTTAATCAGATGCCAAGAAGGGTATCCTCAAACGAAAAGGCAGCCATACCCTTTCGCCGCCCGGCAGGGCGAAGGGTGGCTGATGCGCAGGCATGGAACGAGGTGCGAAACCCGGGATGGGCCTGCGGCGGTTTTTTTTTGGGGGGGGATCAAGGGATTGCCTTGGAGCAGTGTTTGTGCAACTTGGCGCCTTCGCAATCTTGCAAAACCCTTCAGACATGTTCCCTGCATGGAGCTGGAGTGGTCCCTTGCTTTCAATTTCTTGGACCTCTCGAAGTGGCAATTTCGCTGGAACCCACCAGTAGTTAAACTGCAAGTTGTGAGGGATGGATGTTCGCACAGGCGACCGAAACAGTGTACCCTCTTTCCAACAATGGAAGTGGACAGGAGGGCTGTTGAAGACTACCGTGCTCTGGATGAACCAGCAAGTTGCGACAGCGGCATGATAACAATAGCATGACCATTTGTATGTTCATGTTGTGCTTGGTAGTGTTGGAACCTGTACCATGGAGAAGAAGAGCATTCTTTATAAGCCAACTAACCCTAGTTACCCCAGTTATAACCTTTTGACCCTTTCCCATCTTTCTGGGTAGACCATCTTACGACCAGGTTGGTCTCAAAGTAGGAGACCCCCCAAATAGGATTTGTTTTTCCTTTAGCCGATCCTTTGCCATACTGTGGACGAAGTCCATTTCGCACCACATCAGAAACCCTGGATTGATGACTCCCCTATAAATACCAGCAAAAAATGGCTTTCTTTGGTGTGCAGGATTTCGTCCACAGTATGTCTGGGCCCATCGTCATTTTCCGATCGTTTTGATTGATTGATCAGGTGGGAGTCGGTCAAAACTAGGTACCCAAAACAGAGCCCTGGTAAGAAACAAGGCCTCCCCCCGCGTTGTTTTGGTACCTTAATTTTGACTCATACCTTTTGAAGCCAACTGGCTTACTCCCCGAGTTCCGTTTCCGAGCTTTAGTCAGAAACCTGGGTTTGGACCATTTCCGATCGGTGGTTTTTATTGATCAGGTCATGGCGGCTCTGGTCCCTAAGATCCAAAAGATGGTGTTCGAGGATGGCCAGCTGGCGGTCTCCAAAGAGATGCGCGAGGCGACAGCGCGAGAACCAGAGTCAGCGAGGGCGAGGCTGTTTGGTTGGTTGATTGGTTGGTTGGGTGGGTGGGTGGTTGGTTGACTGAATAGATTTGATATGGTTCAATTTGATTTTACTTCGTTGATTTGATTGATTCATGGCTTCATGGATTCGAGTGGTGGACAGATCGATGGATGGAGTGATGGGGTCGATGGAATCATGTTTTCATGAATCGAATGCATTCATTCGTTCGTTCGTTCGTTTATTCGTTCATTCGTTCATTTGTTCATTTGTTCATTCGTTCATTGGTTCATTAATTCATTCTGTCCGTCACTGGTTCGTTTGTGAGTTCATTGATTCATGGATTGATTCAAGTATCCGTTGTTTGATTCGATTGATTGTTTCACTGATTTGACTTGACCTGATGTGTTTTTTCGTTGTTTATTGTGGGTTGATTTGATTTGAGATTGTTTGGGTGGTTGGTTGATGAAGTTGGTTGATTCGATTCATTTGGTGTTACTTGATTTGGTTTGATTGACCGATTAGTTTCCTTTGCACAGGTTTGATTGATAGATGATCTTTTGCGATGTGATTGATTTGATTTGGTTTATCTTTTGTTGATTCAATTGTTGGTTTGATTAGATCAACATAGACTTGACTTTGTTTGGATTGATTTGCACTTGATTGGTTGACTCATTGATTGATTGATTGGTTGGTTGGATGGTTGGTTTTGAGTGATTGACTGATTGACTGAGCATAGCGGATTTGCTCTGGTTTTGTTTCGATTCATGTTCGATTCATTTCGGTTCATTTGGATTTGATTTGATTGATAGATTGGTTTGTTTGATTGATTTATTGATTGATTGATTGATTTATTGTTTTTTTGGTTGATTGATTGGTCGGTTGATTGATTGATTGATTGGTTTGATTGATTTGATTGATTGATTGATTGATTTTATTGATTGATTGATTTATTTATTGATTTATTGTGTTTTTTGATTGATTGATTGATTTGATTGATTGATTGATTGATTGATTTGATTGATTGATTGATTGATTGATTGATTGATTGATTGATTGATTGATTGATTGATTGATTGATTGATTGATTGGTTGGTGGATTGATTGATTGATTTGATTGCTTGCTTGCTTGCTTGCTTGCTTGATTGATTGATTGATTGATTGATTGATTTATTGATTGATTGATTGATTGAATTGCTTGCTTGATTGATTGCTTGATTGATTGATTGATTGGTTGATTGATTGATTGATTGATTGGTTGATTGGTTGATGGTCTGATTGACTGATTGATTTGAACTGATGAATTCCTTTGAATCGTTTGGTTGGGTGTTTGGTGGGTTTGGTGGCTGGCAAACTGACAGACTGACTCACTGACTCACTGACTCACTGTCTGAGTGTTTCGTTGATGGAGCGATTGATTGACAGATGGATTGTTTTTTTTGTTGGTTGGTTGTTTGGTTAGTTGATTGGTTCTTTGGATGATCGGTTGCTTGGTTGGTTGGTGCGGTGGGGTGGTTTGGTTTGGGTTGGTTGGTTGGTTCAGTGGGTGATTGGTTGGTCGGCTGGCTGGTGTGAGCCTGCTTTGCGGCGGTTTCCTCGATTATCCATCCCTCCATCCCTGTAAGGATGGCTGAGCCCTCGTGTCAAACCCACCTTGTCCACGAGAATACATTCCACGGTTTGTGTTTTCTCCCCATGCCCACAAGCGTCCCTTTTGCGAGGATTGTGTTCTATCCGTTTACTAGTGCCGTCTAGCGTTCCCAAACCAAGGCACTCAATGTATGGAATACTTGCCCACACATATACTTATGGGTGCAAACCCATGTATACATTGACATGTATCATATACTACAACTTTCATGAAATGACAAATGAAGGGGAATCACAACATATCACAACATCGGTTTCCCTCAACGGGAAGACCTGCCTCTGAAAAGGGCTGTAAGAGGTTCTCAAAAAAAATACACCAGCGTAGACCCCAGAGCAAAAAACAGGCGGAGGATTGCAAGCCAGCTCCTCTAACAGCACCCCCGGACGCCCGCACTCCTCTAACAGCACCCAAAGCTGCATGCCCCTGCGCACCCTGCCATTAATTTTCAAAAAGGCCACGCCCCAAAACAGCACCTGCACCAGCACCCCAAACTGCACCAAACAGCACCCCCAAACAGCACCCCCCTGCACCCTGCCGTCAATCTTGTAAAAGTGCGCCCGCACCGTCACCAGCACTCCCAAAACAGCACCTGAACCAGCACCCCAAACTGCATGTCCAAAAGCACCCGGTCACTCTTGCAAGACTGTGCCCGCACCGTCACCTGCACCACAAACAGCTCTCCAAACAGCACACCCCAACAAAATCTGCACCACCAACTGCACGCCCCCTAGCACCCAGCCGTCAATCTCGCAAATCACTTTCCCCTCTTTATTAGAAGTTAGAACCCCTATAGCCTTCAGCTATCAGGGGAATAAAACACGCCACCGCGTCCGTCCTCCGGCGGCAGGCCATGCGGGGGACCTGCTTGAGCTCAAAGGAGTACGTGACCGCGCAGGCGCCCTTCGACGACTTCTGGCAGTGCGCCAGCGAGGACCCGGGGCTGAGGGGGGTGCCTTGTTTGGTCCCAACATCTGCGTGGAGAACCACGTTCCTACAGGGGGGGTCGTTGATGTTTTGTTTTGGTTTTCGTCGTGCTGTGCGTCAACTCCGTCTTGTGTTGCCTGGTTTTATTTGTTTTTTTGCACCAAACAAGGAAGCCTCGACAGGAAGCACGGGCCCCTGTCTTGCTGTCAGTTTCTGGGGTCCAATCCAGCCCCCTTGTTCGCCCTTTTTCGAACGGAGCCTCCCGCCTTTTCCGGCCAGGACAACGACAACTTCGGGGCCTCGGCCTACTGCCCCAGCCGACGCGTGGCCCAGAGACTCGCCAACTTCACGGGCCTCGACCTCAAGGCGAAGCGGGCGGGTGGGAGTGACTTATTGATTGATCGATTGCTTGCTTGCTTATTCGTGTGTTTCTGCGCGGGTGTTTCTTTGTTTATTTGATTGTTTGTGTGCTTTATTGTTTGCTTCGTGTGTTTCGTGTGTTTCTTGGTTTCTTGGTTTGTTTGTCTGTCTGTTTGTTTGTCTTTGCCGCTTAGGTTTGGTCTTGTTTTCTCCTGTTTGCTCCTGTTTGCTCCTGTTTGCTCCCGTTTGCTCCTGTTTGTTTGTTTGTTTGTTTGTTTGCTTGTGCGTCCTTGTTTCGATGAACTTGTTGTGCCTGCAGTCTCCGAGTCTCCCAACGGACATCGCCCCAACGGATCCCAACGGCCTCCCTTGCTCGATTCCGTTCGCCGAGAAAGCGAACCCGCCGCAGCTCGTAAAATACTCGGAAAAAAAAGGAAAAAAAGGGGGGGGGGGAAACGGTGTTTTTGTCCTTGTTCTGAGAAACTTCTTCAGGCTCTAAGTTGTTTGCCAGGTTTGGGGAGGTTCTCTTTAGTTGTGGTTCATGCCGGATTGAGCAACATAACAATATCCAACCCGGAGGGAACACGGTTTGGACAGGGCAAGCATTTCCACTCCATTGAGCAACACACAATATCTCTTGTCTTTGGTGACGCAATTTCCGGGCAGTGCCAAAGGTGGGCCAGTCAATGCACCGCCCAGAAATCAAGAAAGCCAGCTGTGCTAGCTGGAGTTCTCTAAGCTTTAGCTTCTGTTAGGGGCTGAGCTTCTCACCATGCCTTGGGGTGGGCCTAAAAAGCCTGAACCATCCCCCTGGAAGGCTTCGATTCCCCGCGCGCGAGCCTTTTTTTCCAAATTCTCGTGCCGCAGCAGGCTTGGGTCTTGATGCATTGGGCTGGCTAGCTTTCCTGCCCCTCTCAAGTATTCTGCACGAACTGTCGCCCTCACCAATGTGGGGATCAAACGAGCTAACTTGACTTACCAGAAATTTGGAGGTTGAGAGTTCACGGCCGTGGTTGTGGATTTCTGTTTATGTTGCGTTTGTACACGCTCCTAAACTTGTTGGTCGATGTTCCAGTGCAGAATGCCATCTCCATTTTGGTCAAGCATTCAGATTCCATTCCAGCATTTGTGAACTCTCTCTCTCAGAATTGAATATGGGTATGTGTCAAAATTGGGAGGCCCCCAAAAAGCCAAGAAACAACTATACCTGGGCCCAGTATACCAACCAATGTGTCTTAGGCCAGTCTGTCTAACCAGCTGGTTGGCTGGTTGGCTGGTTGGCTGTTGTCCGTTGGGCACCTCGCACTAGGTCCTGGAGAAGCTTCACTTGCAGTCCGGCAACGAGAGCGCCGCGCTCTACGGGCGCCTGAGCTGCAAGGAAGGCGAGGCGTTTGCCTCTCGTTGAAATTGCAGTTTAGTCGATGGTGAGATTCCTGTCACAAATCGATGGTAAAATCGAGGCTTATCCCTTATTGGTGCGAAAAGTTGCCAACGACGTTGGGGGAGATTCACCTTCTTCGGCTTGACCTATCCTTTTCAGTCCCAAATGACTTCACCTTTCGATCGTCGACGTCATTTTGTGCTTCTAGTCGTGGGGACAGAACGTGTCCTCCTTTTTTTGCGAAAATCAGACGGAAAAATCTCCATGCGTCCCATGTGTTTGGAATTACGAAGAATAAATGAATCAAAGTTATTTCCGGCGCTGTAAGAAAGAAGCACATCATGTCACTTCTCGCGGATCTGACACCAACCCAGCATAGCCCATGACTTCCAGCTGGCAAAAGCCCAACAAACCAACGGAAGAGCACGAAGCGTTACCGTTTGGCGAAAGGCCTCGAACCAAAGCGAGGTCGTCGCTGTCTCTGCTTCTCAAAAAAGGAATCGGCTTTGTCTCCAACCAAACTGGGTTCCCATATCCATGCTAGACTCCCACACAGAAAAGGGCTTCCTATGGAAGTCGTAGAGCCAACAGCCAAGGGGTCATCTTGCGTGCCACGATCGTTAGGAAGTGGTGTGGCATGCCGGCTCCGCCAGAGTACGAGGATGCATACAGCGGCCCCGTTGGGAATCGTGCCTTCTGGGAGGTCCGGATGGGGTTGGGGGTTGCGGATCGATCCGGGGTGACGTGGGGTGTTCAACCAGATCGCATTTTGAGTTGGAACGGTAGGGGTCCTCAAGTTGTCAACCATATTGCAGCTGCGTCTCTGCCCTTCACAAGCGGAAGCGACGGGTGACCTTGGGCAGCGTCCGAACTGAAGGTTTTGGCTTGCGACTTTCCCATGACTTCCCTGTCCCAAGCTGAATGCGAGTTCGGGCTCAGAGAGCCTCAGAGCTAGTCCTTGCGGGAGCCCCGAAGGATACCGGAAGGGAAAGGGTGCGCCAAGCAAAAGCCGCCCAGTTTTCCGCACAACTTGCCTCCATTCATTGGTGTATGATTCAGCTAAACCTTCCCAAGGATGGGAATAGCTTTTTTGGGGTGCCTTTTCAGGAAGTTCCTGCTGTGCTTCCAAGCCATTCTGACTCCAGGTCTCCTTCTTTTCAGAAGATTCTCCCCAAACACTGGGGACATTTTGGATGGCTTGTTGGTGATGCCAGTGCAGTCATGGCTTTGTCAGGATGGCCAATGAGTTGGGGGATCTTCAACACCCACAATGGCTGGTTGTTCCATGTTAAACATCAACACAAGGATTTGCCCATGGATCTCCACTGGGCATCTGATCGGCCTAGAGTGTCTCCCAGAGACAAAGCATACTGCAGTCATGTTCACTGCAGCATCGTTGATTGAGTGCCACCCGACTTGCTTCTTGGGTGTGCCAGTGTTGGGCCTATGTCCCACAGGCGCCTCATGGATTGTTGGGGTCTTATGTCCATAGTGTGATAGTGTGAGCCTGTGTGCAATTTAGTGTCTGCATCGTTATTGATGTTATTGTAAAGAACGGTGTTGCTAAATGTTGAGCCTATGTAGCAGTCTTGGATTGTTCGGGTTCTGCTGGACGTTGAGCCCTGTTTAGTGAAAATGTAGTGTAACCATGCATTCACATATTCTGATTATTGAGGGCTACGTTGGATAGATGGTGGGCCTAAGTTCTATAGTTTGCAAGCATGTTCAACTTTGGACAAGTATTAGGACCAGCTCTGGAATACTGTTTCTTGAACTGTTGGAGGATCTTTGGAGGCTGTTTTGCTAAATGTGTCGCCCAACGATCTACGCCGTGTCTCCTGGATTGTTGGCAGAGTTTTGGGAGCTTTCTTGAAACATGTTGATCCTATGTAGCGTTGCAGGACTGTGGGGGGTCATGTTGGATATTGAGCCGTCGCCCAACACAATCTAGGAGGCACTGATTGTGGGAGCATATGTCGAAGCCTGCACAATTTTGTGGTGGCCTGAATTTGAAAACGTTCGCAGACGCTCATGGCCCTTCTGAACGCGATACCCCAACACCCTCAAATAGCTTCAGTCTGAAGCCCGGGCAGTACTCCTGAGCCATTGAGTACCGTATTTCCGCAGCAGCGTCATTGGCCATTGCCTGTGCGCGTCGTCGGGAGCTACGTCGGATACATGTTGGGCCTAAGTGTATAGTGTTTCCTGGATTGCTGAGCTGTGTTGGGACATGTTGGGCAAATGCCACCATCTCATGTTTTTCTTCGTATTACAATTTGATTGATGTAACTGTCAAGATCGCCTCTAACATCCTCTAACACTCTCATGAACTTTGTCCGTGCACTTCATCTGCTGAGATGGACCTGCATGAACACTAGAAACGCGCTAAATCATCTAGAAAGCAGGACCGCTGCTTTCCTTTCACTGCAATTCGCACTACGAGCGGCATGAGCGGCCCAAGAAAGGTACGTATCCTTTTCAGTTGGATCCAATTCACAAGCCATGGCACCAATCCGCATCTCTGGACGGATGGCAATCAGCGGGTCCCATGCCGTCTCATTGACGGTGCAGGATGACCTCACTATCCGAGAGCTTCGCCTCAAGTTTTCGGAGGCCTTGTCAGAGAAGCGTCAGACGGCAACCTTGTGCTTGATGAAGGATGGAGAGTTGCTGTCTGACGCAGCAGCCCTGAAATCTGCCGGCTTGAGTGATGGTTGTCAGGTGGAATTGCTGCAGTCTGCTGGAATGGAGTCTGTCTTTACCGCATGCAATGACTGTGTTGCCCGGATCTTTTCACTCGAGACAGGGCAATGCATTGAGCTGCAGGGCCACTTTGGGCAGGTATACACCTGCATTTTGTCGCCGGACCAGCGTCATATTGTCACTGCTTCAGAAGATGGATCTGCCCGAATCTGGGAATTCATTCAGGGATCCGTTGTTGAGAAGCATTTGTTGAAACATGCCAGGGAGGTTTACTCGGCAGTTTTTTCACATAGCGGAAACTTGGTGATTACAGCATCGCAAGACAATACTGCAAAGCTCTTTCAAGTGGACACAGGCAACCTGCTCTGGGAATTTTCTCACGCGGGAGAGGTCTACCTGGCCACCTTTTCTTGTGACGATGAGCTGGTGCTGAGTGCATCAGAAGATGGCAGGGCAGCGTTGATTTTAAGTGACTGTGGTAGCTCTCTTTTCATACTGGATGGTCATGCTGGTCGCCCTTTGAGTCGAGCAGAGTTTTCTCCTGACGGCAATCTAGTTGTCACTGCCTCTGAGGATTCAACAGGCTGCATTTGGGATCGGCACAGTGGAACTCGCAGACACGTGCTGCGAGGTTGCCCATCTGACGTGAAGCATGCCAGCTTTTCGGCAGACAGCCGGCAGGTGTTTCTAACTCATGCGACTGGCGTGGTTGAAGTGTTTTGCGCGGGAACTGGATCATGTGTGTGGGTTCTGAATGATCACGTCGAACCCGTGTACTTGGCCGCCTCATGTCCACGGAGCAGGCTGGTAGCTTTGGGCTGCGAAGATGGCTATGCAACGGTCTGGGAGTTGAGCTCGGGACAGAAGTCGTGGACTTTGGCGCACGCGGATGCTGTGACGTGGATCTCTTGGAGCCCAGCTGGCGATACGTTGATCACAGCGTCTTGGGATGGAACCGTGAAGTTGTGGTCTGCTGAGTTGGGTGAATGCTTGGCCAGCTTCGAGGGTCATGCCGGGCCAGCCATTTATGCAGAGTTTGGCACCCTACGCCTTTGAGACCGAAGCCGATTTCGGTTGAACGCGGCGAGCCGTGATGGCACACGGCTCGTCAGCCTCAGCGATCTCCAGCAGCTGGGCTTGACATGGCTTGACATTGTGAAGTGATTCCACCTGACAAGTGGTGTTGGAGGTGTGGCTCCCGGTGCTGAAGCAAGCGCCACGCAGGCAGCGCGTGATGGCTGCAAGCTCTGGAGGCCTCCCGCTTTTGTGTGTCAAGTGAGATGCTCCCGACTTGGAATCGTCGGATGCAAAGGTCCGACTTGCGCAGTGTGACACTCTTGGTTGATGGTTCCAAAGCGTGATCGCAGGGCCATGGCCACGTGGGAGCCTTGAACACTGCGAGCTGCCTATCTGCTTATCGTAAGGCAGCCGCTTGCCCAGACAATGCATGTCGCTGCTGCTTGCGCATGATGTGCTTCATCCCAGACACAGGCCGTCCTCTGAATCGGATGTGGTGTTCAGCCTGCAATGGCCAGATCCCGGAGTTGTGCCAGGATGCGCCTTGCTGCGCGCAACAGGGGCGTTGCAGAAAGTGTTTGCACGCTGGCCCCAATGCGATGCACAGACGTGCGGCGAGCGGTTTTGTGATGTGTGTGATGGGCAGGGCGGAGTGTCACCCAGTATAACGCACAGCTTGTGTGGGAGGCATCAGATTCCTCTTCCTGCTGACAGGCTGGTGGGACATATGGCCGTAATTGCTCTGACTTGCCCAGACATGATTGGACAGCAAAAGCATGAACAAAAGCTACAGTTGAGCGATGTGGGCGGGCGTCTCGGGATGCGCCAAGGGCATTTTATAGGCAAGCTGACAGAGGAACGTGCACAACTACGTCCCAACCATCACATGCGTTCGATTGCTACGTGCTGTATTGCGGCTAGGGCACTTCGGGCGCAGCGGAGTGGCATTTGCTTGTTTCCAAGCGGAAGAGCAGCGCCAAGTGATCTAGATGCTCGAACCAAACATCAGACAGCGCGAGTAGGTCACTTGGATGTGCAGACTATAGCACATGCTTTTTAGTCAGTTTTCTGTATGTGAATTCCGCGGGAGTTAGACGGTTAGACGAGACATGGAAATGGAAGTGGCGCGGAGGTTTGAGCTGAAGTGGAGCACCGCTAGCGTTGTTCTCTTTTTTTTCGTGGCGTCCCGAGCACTTGGACGCCACCGGATTCGCCAGGACTGCGTCATGCGGAACTCGGGGTACTTCAACGCGCTGAAGTGCGCAACTCGAAGAGACTGCCCATGTCCCTTTCCCCGGAACCCGGCTCCATTTCCCCTTCCATCTGGGGGAACCAAAAAAAAAACATCCAGGTATAGCTTCCTTTTTGGTGTCCCTTTCAAACCATGCAACAAGTATTCCCCGATTTTGGGATCCCAATGAGAAAACCAAGGGGCCTGGGAGAGGCAGGTGGGTTTCCTGACAAATAAACACACGATTCTTGTCCGCCTGAGGCTTCACTTGGAAGGGGCATTCTTTGTGGAAAGGGAGGGTTCTCACCTGGGATGTGTCGAAGCTCTGACAACACACCAAGGTGTAAGGGTTCCGATGCGATTTCCTTTGGGGGGTGGGCGTGTCTTCTTGCAGGGCACCGGTTGTTATGGTTTTACAGGGAAACCAAAAGGACGGCCCAAATCCTTTTGGGGGGAGTCCAACCTTGAAACGGAGACACCCAGATGGCTTAATCAAAATCCGACTGAACTTTCTTCGATCCTGTGCCAACGGTACCAACTCCTCCCCTTGCAAGGCGGCGGGCTTTCGCGTCTTGAACATGTTGCAAAAGGGCCCAAACTTGGGGTCAGCCCCCACATGCCGGGCCCGAAAATTCCAGTCCGTCCGTCCCCGAGGGGAACCCCCCGGGCCACCCGGCGCTCAGAGGTTTCGTTGAGCGAAGGACACCAACGGCTCTTATGCGGTTTTGGGGATCGCTGCGCTGAACCACGGCGTTTGCTACCCGGCTCACCGCCATGACAACCAGGACCTTGGGATCGATTCCAAAGCCGGTGATTCCATTTCCATGTACAGGTAACCCAGGGAACCAGCCTTCAACAAAAGGAGAATGGATCGAAGGGTTTCCTATCCCCTCGAAGCGCCTGGGATCCTGATGGTTTTATTTTGAGTAGAGCCCGGTGATTTTGGTGGGGTTCCCGGTGTTCCCCGTTTCGTTTGGGATGAGTTCACCGCTTTAAGGCGAGAGGAAGACAAATTCGGACAGGTTCTGCTTGGACCCGGAGGGTTCGATGAAGGGTTCCAGCTCTACGGTTTTGGAGGGGAGGGGTGGGCATGGATATTGGCCCGTCCCTTTTTTGAGCTTTTTGCGGTTGCTTCAAAGGGAAACCAGGGGAAGCCCACCATGTTGGGCTCTGTCACTAGAGTTCTCTAAGTCCTCTTGGGGAAACCTGCGCAATTTTGACCCTGCATAGGACAAGTTAGTGGTTTTCCTTTGACTGCCCATGAGTATTTCTCAAAATTGGAATCGCTAAAATGGCAAGGGTCTCCCTGTGGCTTTCCTTTAAATTGCAACCGAAAGGGTTTTGAAATAGAGTTGGGACCTCTACACTCGCCTTTTTAACCAGTTTCCAAGAGCCAAGGGCTTTTGAGAAGCTTCCTTTGTTGGTCCGTGCCAAGTTTTGCAGGAGGCCTATTGGCAGATCGCCGGGCCTGGCTGGTGGAAGACGTGGCCTGAGAGCTTCAGCGACAAGCCGAACATGAAGCCGCTCGCTTTGAAGCCGATGGGGCACGTGGGTGGCGTGCTGCCGTTTTGTCCTTTTTTGGGAGGGAAGGGATACCCTTCCTCCCACAAACATGGCACCCGTGGGAGGGTACCTGGAAGATCAGTTTCCTCTTAAAAGCACCCGCTGTGAGATGCTATGTTAGTGGGAGGTCATGTAACTTTTTAGGGGTTCCGCTTTAGAAATGCATGACTACATGACCCACCCCTCTGATGGAACCGTTGGTCAGGCCATACTCCGAGATTCGCGTCACCTCAGCCAACGATGCCCTGCGCCTTCACAACCATGCAGGTTGCTCGGAAGCAGATCGGCTGGCTCACAGCTTCAGTCCCAATCCAGGTGCAAAGACTTTTTTCGCACTAAACCAAGGGTCACCAAAACGCAGTGGGTGTGAAGTTTTTGGAGGGTCCCCTTTTGGGGTAGCTGTAAAAAGGAAGCCAAAAGGAAACCCACCATCTTGGGGGTCCCCGGTTTTCAGACACCCCCACATCTATTTCCCTCAAAAGCACGTAGTTTTTTCCGCATCAACCCTAAGGGCGAGTTTCCTGAAAGTTTCTGGTGAGTTGTAAACCGGTAGCACTTCTGAACCCAAAGGAATTCCCATGGCCTAGAAACAGGAGCTCGCAACTGAGTACCCTAGGTTTTTCCCTTTTGATGGGTCGCAACAAGCTAAGCCATGGTCGTTTTTCACGAATTTGTTGTGGCATGTGTTTTTGGTGTGAACATGTTCACTCGTGCTTGGTATACTATCACCCGACCAAGTATTGGGAATGTCCACCACTTCTTCTTTGGGCTGGGTGGAAATCATGTGAGAATTACCTGGTTGCAATTTATAGCTGGGCTCACCCCCTATTCAACCCATGGGTGAACAGGCTTCCTCCCTTTCTTTTTCTGGAACCAGCAAAAGTGGCACTGCATTGCAACTTTTGAAAGGGATATCCTATCCAGTGACCCCTATTGAAACACCTATAATTCAAACAACCTTTTGGCTTTCCTCAAATTCGAGTTTTGTTGGATTTGTTTCGACCATTCCGCCCTGGCCCGTTGCCTTGTGTCCAAACACCCAGGTGGGTGTGCCTTTTTGAGGCATTTTCTTTTGGGGTGGGGGTGGGGTAGCCCCTACAGATTTCTTTGTTGACCACCCATATCCAACCTACTTGGTAAGCCAAGGTTCCTACCGGGGTAACTGGGGTCCGTTGGCTAACCATGGTTATAGCCTACTAAGTAGGTGTAACATCCAAGTGCCAATATTTCAAGACACAGGTGGCCTCATCCACGAGATGGACACCACCTTTGATGACGACTTTCTGCTGGCGGTGTACTGGTGGGGCAAGCCGGTCTACACCACGGTGAACTACGCCTACAGCCCCTCCAGCGGGGTTGAGGGCTCATGTGCGTACAAGCAATTTGCATATGCACGCGTATGTAGGGCGGTAGCACATGTGTATATATATATATATACATAGATATATACACATGTGTGTGTACACATGGGTTTGTGCCTTTCAGGGCCCCACCCTTTGGGCTTGTTACAAAGCGTTAAAAAGGGAACGAAAGGCAGGCACCCTCTCCGGTATATATATATATATACATATATATACATACATATGTATAACTATATATATATATATAGATACTGTTTGAGGATACTCTTCGGGGAGCCATTTCGAGTTCCTCCTATGTTGACAGAACTTGTGACCTTTTGTGAAGATCGTTTTGAGCCGCGCACGAAGTGAGCTTTATGTTTTCTCCTGTTGGCATGTGGTTCCAATGGTCAGTCAGGTGGACTACGGCCGCTTTGAATGCAAAGGTTCATGAGGATGCTTGCACAATTCTGTAGTAAGAGGCCCAAAGGGGTCTTTCGATTTTTCATGTTGGGTCGTTAACACATCACCTTTTGGCTGCCTTCAATGTTTTGTTTTGCTTAGCACCCGCAAAGTAAGCAGTCGATTGGTTGCCACCCCCGCCCCCGTTTTCTGCCCAGGTCACGGCGTGGTAGAGCAGGGCAGCTGCTTCGCGAGCTCCTTGCCCGCGGTTTGTGTCGCGTTCAAAGGATGTTCGGCCAAGTCAGTAAGTGGTAAGCCACATGGTTTGTAACCCTGTAACCCACAAATAACTGGGTCAACCCCCACAAGGGGGAACCTTGAATTGGGTGGTAACCTAGGGTACCAACAACTTACTAGCTTGGCCGAACACCCGAGAGGATGCATGTGGGCTAGTCAACCAATTCCTTCGTCACCTGATTTAGATGCCCCTCTCTCGGCTTGGCTGTCTTTGGGTGAACAAATGTTTCTCGCCTTGCAACGAATCGGAGATTGAGTAATGACGGGTTCCTAGTGGATGTGTCTTCTTTTTGTGGGGTACTTTTTTTCAAAAAGAGAACAAGCAACTGGAAAGCCATGTTTTTTTGGTTGGGGGGGGGGTCCCTAAAAAGGAAAAGCATTACTTTGTGGATAAGATGAAACTACGAATGCAACTATGCCATGGCAACCAGATAGCTGTTTTCTCTCCATGAGACGCGATGCTTTTAGGTTGTAGAGACACTCTTCTCCGAAGGAGTAAGGATCCTCCACGACGGGCGGCTTTCCTTTGGTTTTCCTTTCAAACAACCTGATGACCCCCCCCCATTTCCACATGTATCCTCTTTGTTGGAGAAGGTTGCCTTGCCTCCAAGAGGAAGTAGAAGCCACTTTGAGGGGCCTCAGATGTTTCCATTTTTTTGGTTGCGAACATTTGAAACTGAGTCATCTTGCCAGGTGGACACTGAATTACACCTGTAAGTTCGGAAGTGTCAAACGGGCAAAAGTACTTGGAAGGATACACATGAATCAGCCACCGTTTGAGTGGACAGCAGATTTTGGCTTGGTCGCTGGAGGTTCCGTACATAAGGGACACATAGGGATACCATTTAGACAAATTGCAGCCGTCTTAGTCGGGGGGTTCTTGAAATCCAACGAAGCAACGGGTCCCTAGTTGGTTTAGAGCCCGGTGGAGGGAAACTACCTCCTAACTTACAAACAGCCAACCAACCCCGCCATTTTGAGGGAAGCTGGAGATAGAAAAACAGAGTTTCAATTTGTTGTTTGTTCCCCGTGGCCGCTGTTCATGGAGTGTGGGGGGGATTCCCTGAAATCTGAGCCAGGAAATTTGACAAGAACTTAGCCAAGACACTCCTGGCTACAGGCGCTGAGATTCCATACCTTTAGATTTCCAGGAGATGGATCATGTGGGTCTGTATTTTTCTTGAGTTGGTCTTCTTTTTGGGGTTGGTTTAAAGGACAACCGGAAATCGACCATGTTGGGGGGTCTCCTAAAAAGACACCCATCGTCCAACTTTCTAGAATTCAGGTGCCCTACTTTAGGTCCATGTTGCAAACTAGTCACTAGTCAACCTGTTTCAGGGAAGGTAATATTTTTTCAGCGTGGCACCAGGCCAAGTTGTTTTGCAACAATCGAGGTTGCGCAACGAGATATTTCGGCCAGGTTGAGCACCGCATTGTAGCATCCAAATTCGCGCGGAGCTGTTTTTGCGCCGCTTCTTGGTTGGAACACAACTGCTAGCAGTTCTTTTGAACAAGACACTTTTTCTGTGCCCAAAGCACCAATCCAAAGCCACGAGGGAAGTTGGCCTAAGATTCCCTCGAGCTTGCGGATCCCTCGCTCGGCCCTCGCTTCGCTGCGAGGCTTCCGCAGAGAGCACCTGGACGCTGCTCACAGCTGCCCCGAGGTGGCGCGCCCGGAGTGGGCCACCGAGGGCAAGTGACGCGCGCAGAGGCACACAGAGGAAGTCGCTTTGGGCGCTGGAAGAGCCCCCGAGCGGCGGTGGCTCACACAAAATGGTCAGAGCTGGGGTTGTGGCTGAGAAATGAAGACTGTGGACATTTTCGTATGGATTGGTTCTCAGAATGGGGGGGCTCTCCGAATAAAGGGGATATGTTATGTTTTATTTTTTTTCGGGTTATTCACAGCTGTTGAGTGTTTGTTTCCATTTAATTCACCGAGGTGCCAATTTGAGTGTAACGGGAACCGAAATCCATGCCATCCCAAGAAAAAGGGGATTCGCTTTTGGCTGCTTGGCAGGGGAAACCAAACAGAAATCAACTTGCCATGTTGGGGTGGATTAGTCATTGCCTCCATCGGAAGGTTGACCTCAAAATAGCGCTGCCATTTTGAGGGCCGAACAACATGGCACGGGTGCCCTCTGATTAGTGCAGGCTCATCTCATTTGTCCCAAACAAACCTAACCACATGGCTTGCGATTGCCCCGCTGCCTTCGAGGGCCAAGTAGCATGCCTTTTTGGTGATGGCAGAAGCTTCCCCTTGGCTTCCCTTCAAACCAGTGGGAGAAAGGTACCCTCCCTTTTCCCCCTAAAAAAAAAGGCAAGACGAGCCCCCGTGCATTACCCTCTAGGTGAGAAAGGCCTGTGGCTTGCAAAGACAAGTCGTGATGTCAGCGCAGCAGCGCTGGTTTCCTCGTGGAAAAAAAAGGCGCTGGTGTCCGCGTTCGCTTTTTCTGGGGCTGCTCGTGGCCTAACTAGAGGTGAGAGGTCGCTTTACTGCTACAATAGATATTTTTGCATTCACTAGCTCTAACTAACTTCACACTTGGAGTTTATCAACCGTCAGCATGTGGGTCTGTCCTTTTTTTGGGAAACCCTGTTCGGTTGGTTTTAAGAGGAACATAGAAGGACACCCACCATTTTAGCGGACCCACCAAAAAAGAACACCCATCTTATTCTTTGGGCGAAAGCCGCGCAGATTTGTTCCCCATACCGTGACTTGCGACGGCCTCATGGAAGGAAGCTCAGGATGGGCTTGTCTCTAAATCCGAGAACTCGGACATGGGCGTTGTTCTTGAAACGGTCACCCACATTGGAGCTGGGTTGATTCCTTGAACGTGATGCTTTTGCATTTTTCTCAGCTGCATCCCTTCCTTGATTTTGTAGATGGCTCATGTTCTGCCTCGCGCGAGCCAGATGATCCTTGCAGGACTCTTGGTGCAGGATTTGCCTGGTCCCGAAGCTTCCAGGGCAACTCCAACTAGAGGTCCGACGGTCCTGACCTCATTGCTCTTGTTCCGCCTGGCTGGTTTCTTCTCCAAGAAAATGGATCAACCGGGCCTCCCGATTCCTTCGGCCATTCCAACATTGTTTGGAGGGGTTGCCTTGTTGAAATCAACTACTAACAAGGGTGCCGATTCTTTTCTCCCCTGGCCGCTTGGGGGCTGATGATGCCTGAGAACGGTTCTTTCTTTCGGCTCAAGAGGGTTAGAGGGCTGAATGAAGAGCATTGAAGAGCCAAACAAATCAGTCGACCTCAGCTTGCCGGATTAAAAGCAAACAAGTTTTCGGGTTCAGCGCGAATTTGTTAAGCAGTCCTGCTTCTTGCAAGCAGGCCCTTGCACGAAATGGCCATGGACATCGTGCCGGTGTTGCACAGGACCGGGCAGGGACTTAGAGCTCACCCAATGGCCCTCCGAGCCATTTCCCTTTTGGAACCTCAGGTGGCGATCGTTTCAATGGACACCACCCGTAAATGGCAGCGGGAGAATCCAGTTACCCCTGTTGACCCATGTGCATTTGGGGAGCGTAATTCATTGCTTGCCTCCTTCCCGGAGCCCGAGAAGGCTGCTCTACGCCAAAGAGAGCGACCACACCGACCACACCCCAACTTTGGCCGTCCCATTGCATCTGCTGGTAAAACAACCCGGAGGCTCCCGATGCAGTGTGAGTTGGCTCCTTGGAGCTGCGTCAGGACCCTCCCTTTCGAAGGGGCCCCAGCGTTTGGGTAGGTCCGCACAAAGCGCTCGCAATAGAGATGACCCACAGACAGGAAAAAAGATTCACATGACTCTGTGTATGCATCACAATAGCTGGTTTTGATTTAGGAATTGAACTGGTTGTAGAGTGCAGCCCCCAAACACCTCCAAACCGCCAAACCTTTGGTTCCGAAAGGGTTTGGCCGGGGGTTTCCCAGGACTGAGAATGGGAGAGAAGAGCCTCCTAACAAGAGGGAAGCTGAGCCCTGAAACCGCTAAGGTACCATGGGGCACCACTTTCTAGCCACACAAGTCATACACCTTGATGCTTGTTTTTGGGGCAGCTGCGGATTGGGGGTGGTTTCGCATGTCAGAGAGACCTCGGTGTCCCGGCTCCAATGCAGGAGCGCGAGCGCCTGGCCTTCGCAACGCCGCGAAGGCCGATCCGAAGCCAGCTTCGGCTTCGCCGGAGGCCCCAGTGGGGGGTGGGGGTGGGGGACTGGTTGGAGGCAAAACAGGGTGGTTTGGGATGCATCCGTTCAGGAACTCTTCCTCTACTCCAAAAAATGTCGGTATTTGGAGCTCTCGGGTGTATTTGAAATTGAATGGTTGGAGCTAGTCGATGGCTGGTGTACATAAGTTCCGACAGGGATCCTTTGTCAGCAAAGCAGGCTTCCAATCCTTCAGAGAACAACCCTGCTTGTAACAGGGGAAAGAAGGAGTCTAATGATTCCCCGTTTCGGGTGGTAATTCACAGCTAGAAATGGGTGAGCGTCCCGTGGTAGGGATCTTAACAGCTTGGACACGTCGGGGGGTCTGCGATCCACAATGGCTGACCTTCTCTGAGAGCCAATTCAGATACCCAACCGGTACTCCTCTGGCAAAATGCCCAGTGGCCCAGTGGTCATTTGGGTATGGGTCAAAATTAAACAACCAGGGGTTTTAGTTCTTGGTTCCATTTGGCAGGGTTCCATTTTGGGTGCATAATTTTGACCCATACCCATTTAGTTTGTTTCTCCTTGGAGCAGCGGTTTCCACTAGCTGGAAAGCATCCTCCGGTGAGATGTAACGGGCTCAATCCCACCCAAACCGGTGGTAGTTTGGAGGTTGTCGTTCCCTGAATTGTGTCTTCGGGTTTCTCTTCAGTTTGTCTTTTCGGGGGGAAGCATGGTAATTGGTCAAATTGAAGGGCTAAGCCTCATCCATCCTGTAACAATCATGTTCCGGACATAGCTGTGGTCTTGAAACATGATGCACGCAATGACTTTGCCAGACATGCTGTGAGTGGAAGAAATCCTGCACCACTTGGGCGAAATCCTACCAGCTGGTGCAGGATGTTGTCCATCGACAATAGGCAGCCAACAATCTTCCGCAAACCAGAATTCTGCATTGATAACGAGCTCACCTGGGGGTGGAGCAAGCTTTCTTGGTTCAGGTCGGTGAGTTGTAGTAATTAGTTCAGATCATAGCCATCTTCAAATCATGCAGGAAGCACTCAGATTCCTTTCCTGTCTTCCGAACCCTCTCATTCTACAGGTTTACCCCATCACTAATTGTGACCCCTGATAAAAGCCTCCCATGGTATAGAGGGTCACGTTAAGGTGAGAAAGACCCTGATCAACGACTCAGAGCTTCATGAAGCAGTGTCAATATTGGTCCAAATGCTCATATGTTCTCGGGACAACTTTTGACAACCATATTATCCAAGGTGCCGTCAGCTTTTGACACCAGGAAAGCATTTGGGGTCTGCCAAAAGCACATTTGTTTAAGGTTGACCAAACAGTCGTCCAGAATCAGAACGTATCATTTTCGGCTTGCACCGGGGGCTGGGCCTGGGCGTTACAAACCCCGTGCTGAGGCGAGCGGTGCTTCGGCCGGCTTTAGGCCGACCGCGGTGTGTGGCGTGCCGGCCTCAAGGTCTCAGAGTCTCAGGGCAAGAGCGCGGCATTCTTGCGGAGCAGGGGCTCCCAATGGTGGTTTTCCTTTTGTTTTCCCTTCAAATAATTCGAATGTCTTGAAACTTGCGGGTAAGCTGATTGAAATACCCTTGATTTTAAGCTGAGTTGACTCGGGAATATTGACTCGCCATCGGGCTGAAGAAATGTGGACCTGGGGCCAAGCCCATGGCTTCTACGTCTTTTGGATCAGTGGCGGGCTTTCTGTGCGGCTTGGTTTCCTTTTTGGGAAGTCAAACCACCCATCTTGGGCTTAAAGACAGACCCATGAGAGCTGGAAGCTGAAAGGTTATTCTTTTCAGCCAGACCCGGGGTCTGTGCCTGGTGGCATAGCATTAAGAATGAGTCGGTTTCTTGATGATTCTCGTAGCGGAGTTCCCCTCTGGGGCCCTTCTGTCGACTCGGCTTGCGGCCACAGGCTGCCCTGGTGATTGGAAGCGCTGTGCAAGGCGATGCGAGCTCGACTCGAAGCCGGAGTCAAAACTGATGTGGAATCCAGTTGGCGTTCGTTTGAATGGCCTTGGAGGCGATGTGGGGACTCTTCAAGGGTCGTTGACGTGGGATGTGAAGAGCAGCCAGTTTTGAGGCGACTGCCCCTTTTTGGGGGTGGTGGTTTCAAGGAAACGAAAAACAAAGGCCAAAGTTCATGTTGGGAGTGTTCAATGGGATATGGAGGACGTGATTTATTGGAGGCTGGGTACCTTTTCAGGTTGGCTTCAAGGGAAACCAAAAGGAATCCGGTTTGCCGCCCTTTCCTATCTGTTCACACTCGCAAGGCTATAAGATGGGGCAGCCTGACGACTGGGGCGCGTTGGGTACACCGTGGCTGATATCCGTTTAGCAGTTGCTTCGATGCGAAACCACAAGAGAAACAAAAGCCCGTTTTCAGGGTTCCATGCGCGTTTTGATACAAACCTGCACAGCACCCCTAAAATGTGCTTCGCTTTGGTTCGTCTTGCTTTGCGAGTAAAGCAGCTCAAGTGGGACCAAATGGGTGGTTTTTTCTTCAAGCTACGACAACGAGGGTGCCCTGATTGAACACGCATCTTGACCATGTGTTTTCATGTGATATTGAGCTTACTTTGAGGACGCTGGGTGGTTCTACCCCCTTGGGCATTGGGATGATACAAATGCGCCCAAAATGGTGCAAACCGAAACGTTTCTGGCCCTCGGACAGTGAAAAGGCAGAAGCGAACGTTTGACATCTGAGCGAAGTCACTTGATGAATTTAAGGGGGCCCATGGAACATATCGCAAGTGCGGCCTTGTCTTTCGTTAGACAACAAATCATCAACAGAAATGGTTCACCCGAATAGACATGTGGATCCCAACTACCAGAGTAGGCAACTATCCATTCTCCTTTAAAGAGTGACAACCGGTTGCCTACAAAACAAGCATGGAAGCACTGCTAGGTCCCCCAGTAGTGCCCTTTTACCCTTTTTTTGGGGAGAGCTCCCCTACTAAAATAGACAAAACAGGAAAAGAAAAACATGGTACCCTGATTCTACCCTCTCTACTAGAGGACCTAGACTACGACTGCTTGCCAGGTTCAGTGAACTTTAGCTGGGGTTTCACGCCAGGTCGTCGAAGAGGCCGGGGTTTCGTGTGGGCCGCGTCGCCGGCAGAAACCTCATGCAAGTTGGACAGTCTGATTGGACCCTTCGTGGTTGCGACATCAAAAAGGTAGTGGATCCCCCAAAATCGTTGGTGGCTTCCTTTCGGTTTTCCTTCCAAGCCAACCAAAAAAAGACCCCTCAAAGACACACCCATTTCTTCAGAAGCTTTTGGGCCAGTCCACTTGCTCGGAAGTGAACATGTCAGGGGTTGACCCCCAAACCAAATCGAGCTTTTGGCCTGTGGGGTTCGATTTCGAATCATGTTATAGTTTTGTAAAAGTCTTCGCCTTTTCCGGAATCCGAGGTGGGTATGTTATTATAGCTTTGTGGCTCTACTGCTGATGGAAAGAAATCCTGCATCGCCTATCGGAATGGTGCCCAATGGACGAAACCCTGGAATGACTATTCCCCCGTAAAAAATAATAAAACAAAATATACCAACATGTTTTTCTCGTACGTGGTTTCAAAGTGGTGCGAAATGGATTTTGTCCATCCACTGTATGTTTAACCACATTTGGGGCGTTGTCTTTTCACTGTGCGCACCGCTCGAATGTCTTGGTTTCTCTTCGGTGCCCCTTGCTCGGTGGGCTTCCCTTTGAGCCACACAAAGAGTTGAGCCCAACATGCCCAACCAATCTTTGAATATTTCCTCCAACCCCTAGAACGAATTCGAGGGCCCTTGTAAAACCCTGTAACATCTCTTTGAAAGAAAGAAACAACGGGTACCTTGGGAACTGCCATACCTTTCGCAGCGCACGCGCGAGCGCTCGCGAGCGCCAGGGCTGAAGGTGGGGCTCTGGGCCCAGGGCAGCCGCGCGCTTACGGCCTGAAGCTCGGCTCGGAGCTGTTCCTTGGGGCGTGGTTTGGGTCCCGTCTTTTTTTCGGTGGTCCCGATTTGGTTGGTGCAGGGTGACTAAAAAAGAACACCAGGCATGAAAGGGCGTTCCATATCTGGTTTTTGGACGACAGATTGGAGGGAACTGGTTTCTTGAGACTTGTTTTAATGTTGACCCCTCAGTTTGGAAAACTTTATGTTCTCATTTGGGATCTCTTTGGAAAGAAGATGCACGTTACAGCCCACAAAGTGTGCATGAGACTCAACCATGTGTTTTTCATTGCGGGGCAGAAGCTAAGCCAATGTTGATCCCTGACTTCAAGCAAAACCAAATTATTGAGTTGGACTGCAGCTCGCAAGCCCCATGTTTTGCATGAGCCCCCACGCGTGCATGAAAGAAAGGCGAAGAAGGGACGTCCGCCTGAAGTATATTGTAGTCGCCCTTTCCAATCGAGGCGGTTCATGTCGATACGTGGCTTTCTTGGCCACTATCTCCATCAGGGTGATGGGTTGTGTTCTGTTTTTTTTGTTTTTTTTCTTGCAACATGCAAGCATAGCCAAGAGAGGTGTATCCATGTGTATCCCCGCGTGATGTCGGAGTCCTTCTGCAACGGGTTTGTGGTTGCGGGCGTGTGTTGGCCAATTTGCTTGAAGCACATTCTCCATGCTGGTCTAAAATGAGGAATTGGGTGCTTCCGAACAAATGGTCCCTTTCATGCGGAGCTAAGTACCCCGCCCGGGTGTGCCCCAGTTTCGGGTTTCATCCATCCCAACTGGTGCCAATCGCGAGTTTGTGCATCAACATATTGAGTGGTTCCCATCAGGAATCCTAAATTTAGAATCTAAAACCCCAACTAAAGGCTCCCGGCGTACCGCCGGATCGATGTGTATGTTGCTCTCGGCGCCTTTAGGTGTTGGAACACATGGAGGAGGGCGCACAAAAGCCCATGGAGGCTGCTTGAGGGTTCTTTCGGCGTCCAAACGGTTTATTGTAGGGGATCACTTTCCCAGGCAAAAGGGTTGTCTCCTTTTCTCCACCGTTTCCTGGAGCAACCGCAAAGCCCAAATCAGCCGCCAAAGTCGGTGCCTTTCAACCTTGTCCCCTTGGAATCCACTAAAGAGTCAACCCCGAACGGTGTGCTTTGGATTGGGGAGGCTGAAGCGCATAGGGAGTGATGATGTCAAGGTTGACAGTACGACATGAACCGTCTTCAACCCTCATGGGGACCTTGCTGCATCAAGTTGCAACATCATTCCGCAAAGTAAGAAGTAAGTAATCTTCATTTGGCTTGTCTTACTTGCGATGGGAGTGCTTGTCTATACATTCCATGTCACATTTCAAGGTCAAGTTACAAGGCCAGGGACGTAGGACATGTGCATCTCCAGCTGGAGATGTTGCATGCGTCCCACATCTACAAGCTGATGTCAGCGTCAATGCAAACAGCGGTTCAATGGTTCCACCAGAAGCATATCTTTTTAGCCAGAGCCCTAGACAATGCTCAACTGTCACACTTTTGCTTTGAAGTCTTTTTCTTTAGCCAGAGCATTTGTCAAGCGATGTGCTATTCTTCCCGGTATGTTTTCCGCAACCGAACAAGGGTTCCCTTCTCCTGTCAGGGTCGCTTCTTGGCAACTGCGTTTTAGAGGGAAATGGTGGCCACTTTCTGGTGGCACCTCAAGGCTTTGGGTGCTTTGGTCAAACCGTGGCGAGACCCCCCTGTACACAATCTCCAGGAAAGGGGGCATGTGCTTCATGAAAAACGCAATCCACCCAACTGTTCTCCGTCTTTATTCGCACTGCCTGCGTTTCGCAGCTTTCGGGTCTTCTACCTCTCCCAAGAATTCCATTCGCCTGGTTTTGTAGCAACCAATGGTTGGCTGCCTAAGTTGCAACTGGACTCCCTTGGGTCTAGAGTCTCACATGATCGCTTCCCCTCTTTCCTCACGAATGGTTGCCTGGCAGCACTGGGCAACATTTGGGCGTGCCTATTCTTGTTTTTGTTTTTTTGTCACAGAGACCAGACGGAGAAAGAAACCACGATTTTGCGGGTCCAACCTGAAAAAGAAAGGCACACCAAATGTTGCCCCTGTTCACTTTTTGTTTTTTGTTTTCTGTTCTTCTCTTTTCGCATGCCACCCTTGGCCCCCCTCCCCCGTTTCGGCCGAAGATCTTTCCCGACGGCCAGGGCACATACATCCAGGAGGCCCTCGAAAGGCAGAGGCGGCGAGTCCTGTGGGTGACTCGTCGTTTCTTGGAGTTGGTACCTTTGTCCGGTGGTTTTGCAGGAAACCAAAGGGAAAATCACCAGTTCGCGGGGGCCCATGGGGCCCCAGAAAAAGAGATACAGATGTTTCCCGGCCAAGATTTCCGTTTTGGTGGTCTCACTTCCTTCGTTCCGTGTCGGACTTTGGTCACTTTTGTGGTTTGGAACATGTTGGTGGCATCCAACAAGTTGATTCCTTTTGGCGAATCCACTTTTTCGGAAGTGCGTGGTTTTAATTTCAGCTCGCTTTGTTTGTTTGGTGAGTCTCCTGTAGGGGTGATGTTTATATGTTGGAAATATACGGGGAGCCTCATGGTTCGTGTCAATCTCTTCAAGATTGGTCTTCCAGGGGGATGAGCCAACCAGGTTACCCAGAAGTTGCGAAGGGACGCATGAGTTAAATCTCTATGAGTTGATTTCCGTGGGCTCCACGGGTCCTACAGGCGGTTATATTGAGGGTACTTTTTCACCTTGGCTTAGTGGGAAGCATGCTGCACATCCGCCATGTCATCATTTTGTTGAGGTCCTCCATTTCACAAAGGAACCCCTTTACATGCAGTGGAAGTGTTCAACCCCTGACTCGGGAGTTGCGAACAATTTTAGATGACCATGGCAAGGATTCCTAAGGGGAGCCACGACCACCAGGGAAACCAAATGGAAACCCATCATTTTGATCCAACACTTTGCTTCAACAGATTCCCATCTAAGCGGAAGCTGAATTGCAATGCCCACGCGACGGTTCCGGTCCTTACGATCCATGGCCAGGACCTACGGCCATATGTTCTTCGAGGACAAGCGCGGCGTGGGTACGGCGCGGGGGCCGGAAGTTGCGATTTGGAAACGATGTTCATTCAAAAGGGTTCCAAGTTAGTGGACAGGAGGGTAACCGGGTAAGTAAGCCATTAGTTAATTACATGCCAAAGTGTAAAATGATGAGGAGTACGTAAGGAGGATGTTCAAATTTGAAGGATGGATTGCCTCTCATGGGTTTTCACCAAAGCGAATTTTATGCAGTGTCAGGTTGACTAAATGGAACACCTGGACATATCACGTTTGGTGTCAGCCAGTTAACCTGTGTTCTAAGGTCCGACTTATCCCAACAACTATCCTGTAGGGCTTTTGGGCTGTCCCAGGCCGTGAATCTTAGTGGAGGGACCCCTCTGGTGGACATCATGTACATGGGGATCTACGTCCACCAACCACGTTGTAGGTGGTTCCGACTCTCGACATTCAGTTTGCCTTTTGGCCCGACATTTTGGGCTTCCTTCATGTTCCCCGAAAACCGGCCAAGCCCCACAGCTGTTTGACGTAAGGGTTTTTGTTGGTGGTGTTGAGCGACAGAGGAGCCGCAACGGAACCCTAGGATGAATCAACTTAGTAAGGCCTTGGTTTAAATCTATATCTGGGGATCTCCCATGTTTGAGAGGAATCTTGATCAATCCAGGGTCGACATGTGGAGACCTACGTTTTAGCTAAGCTTTGAGTGATAGGGGGACTTGATGGGGGACCTGTGTCCAAGCATCCGAGTTCGGTGGGGGGGCCTTGGGGTCATAGGTCCCCCAGCTAGGTGCCCTTTTACCGTTTCTTTTTTGGGGGAGGGTTCCCCTACTAAAATAGACTACAGAAAAAGGGTTTACCCTTATTCTAACCTCTCTAGTGGAGGACCTAGCATTGATTCTCTTGGTCTTTCGGCCTGGTTCTCACTTGACATCCCACTTTTCGGTCGCCTCCAAGATGCCCTCTAGGCCGAGAATGGCGGATCACTGTCAAACCACCTGGGTTTGGCCACAGAAGTCCTTCAAAGCGCCCCCTTGCGTTTTGTCCTCAGCATCTAGGGGGGGTGGTTGAATGCAACACCCAAGAACCATGAACAAGTTGCTTCTGTGACACCCAGGATTTTTCCCACTTGGGAAAATAACCCAAAGTAGTCCAGCATGGGATGATGTCGCGGATAGAAAATAAGCTCAAGTGATATCCTCAACAGCCTGCGGGCTCTTTTTAGTGCACGCACCACCCCGCAGCCCTCGCAGAACCTCGTGGAACCCTCGTGGAAATGTGGTGGAACGGAACCCTCGTGGAACCTTACCTCCGGGCCGCCCGGATCACCCCGGAGCCTATCTGGTCTGAGACCCAAAAGCTTTCAGCTGTTGGGGAAAAACCCTTTGAAGCGGGGGTCTGGGACAAGATGCTGAAAACAACAAACCTCTGCCACTGTTGTTTTCCTGTACCCCCTTTTAACCCCATTCAAAATGGGGTCCGGATTTCATTTTGATCACCTGGGATCTTTGATTCCTCCAGAGGTCTGCGACTGGCTGCCACAGCGCGGCATCGGATACTTGCTCTGCGGCTCCCCTCCGGAGGCGCGCCCGGGGCGCCAGAAATGTGGCGCGAAGTCCGAGAGTGTGGTGCGGCTGGGGCAAAAATTATCCAGATGGGTGTGTTTGTTTTTAGGGGACGCGCAACAATGGTTGGTTTTCACGAGTTTACAGCCAACCCCAACAAGGGTACCACCAAGAAGAGGCGAACCCAGAGAAACGTGGAACCGCAACGCCATTTTTTGGAGGAACCTTTGTGAAGCTCCATGTGAATTGGCCTTTGGAGTGTTGGTTACCTGAAATTGATTGGTTTTGTTGGCTGGAAGGGAGTCGTTCCGCAGCGCTGCAGATGTCAGGGTTTCCTCCATGTCCCTTTTTGGAACCTCCGAAAGTGGCGATCGTTTCAATGGACACCACCAGAAAAAATGCATCTTAAGGGGAATCCAGCGAGCCCTGAAAGTGCTCGCTTAAAAAAAAAGGAAGCCAAGAAGTTACCAGGAGTTCAGTTATTTGAGGGGTTAGATTGGGCAGCTGCCCATGCTATTTTGTGTCTGATAATGGTTGGTTTATTGGTTGGTGTACAGTCCCATTGAATCATTGTTCGAAGGGAATTTGTCATTGTTTTTGATGTTCTAGTTGATTCCCTGTTGGTTCAAAAGGTCAGGTGAAGTATCATTGGTATTGAGTGTTCCGTACTTCAGTGGCGCGCGCCGAAAGCACACATGGATTCGAGCTGGCCGAACATGAGTGCAGGCAAATGTCTCACATGGCTCATAGACCTCTCCAATTCCTGACCGGGGTGGATTTTTTTTCCACGGGGAAGGAACTCTGCTGTAAAAACAGGGGTATAAAAAAGGGGTTCGACACTACTAAAAGCTGGATTATTCAAGGTAGATACTTGTTGTGGTTAGGGGTTGTGGGTATTGAGAGTCATTGCAATCCTTCCTATCACATGTAGGCCTTTGGGCGTGACTTGATGACGGTGAGATACTGGGGCCAGGCAAAGGAGGCTCAAATCAAGGCAGTTGTGCTTCACTTCCACACCATCCAACACCTCCCTGTATGCCGAGCAAATGTCCATGTGACATCAATTGCAGCGTGCCGAAATGGACACTTTGAGACCGGTGCGCGGGGCTCACTCAGGATGAAGGTCTGTTGCTGAGTTCCCCGCTGCAGTCCTGTGAATGGATTATATAGTAATTGCAGTATAAAACGGATGACCTGGAACATGGACCCCAATGGTTGCCCACCCATTCTTGGTTGGACGCTTCAAACGTGTGCTTGCCATACCTAGTGGTTGGCTACGCAAAAGCTGCTGCTTCTCACATTAGTGTTGCCATTCGCGCTGGCTCTCAGAAAATCATCTTCCACATGAACGATGTGCCGAAGGACTACCTGAGAGCCAACGGCGGAAAGGCCGCTTGGATGCACACGAGCTGACCCAAGCCGTGTTTGGGAGCTGAAGACCGTGTTTATTTTTTTCGCACCCTAGGTATCATTGGACCCTCCATTGGAGGGGTCGGGATCTCTACTGGAAGGTTTGAGACCTCAAATTGGGGCACCAAGATTCTTAGGGCAGTTTGTATAGTCCAGCAACTTGCGTTTAGTTGAGGCCGTGTGTGCTTTTTCTTACCGGGCTCGACAAGGGGCATGGTCATGCATGGCGAAGCATGGCATCCAAACCCGGTGCGAAAACTCGTAAAGTCTCTTGGGCGCCTTTTGTGGGTGAGGTTCTAAATCTATTGGTCCCATAAAATGGCAAGGGTTTCCCTTTGGGTTCCCTTCAAACACCAACCAACAAGGGGGTCACAAGCCTTTTGTTGAAACACAGATTTCAGGCTCAGCAAGACAAGGACAAGCAGGGCATGTTTCCGACTTCCGACGAGGCGGAAACAAAGGCAGACCAAGATGAAACCATCTGAAGGGCCAGTGACGGCTTGACGGCCCTTCAGTTGGGGTTCAATGCGGCAGTGGCAGTGGTCCAATCAATTTCATTTGACATCTGCTTCCTTCTCATTGCCATGCTGGATTGAAAAGCCACCTTTGGGTCAAAATTCACAATCTTCCTTTGGCTGGGTGATGCAGAAGGGACCGGTAGCTAGCTTGCAATCTATTGCGGAGCTCTACACCCTCCCCCCTCAGAAACAAATGCAGAAATGTGCATCCGCCTTTCTGCGGTTTTCTCTCGCAGGTTCCTATGGGCGCCGATGTGGAGTTCGAGTTCACGGGCAAATACAGGCGGATGTTTTCCCTGACGCTCAACCACTTGTTTGGCGGAGCAGCCTGCTTGGGGTGGTTTTGAAGGGGGGCCGAATGGAAGCTGAGCATTTTGGAGGTCCAAGGGTCCCTCCACTCCCATGTGGGACAGGTATTGCTGTCGGGACGAGAATCGGTGAGTTTTCTGTTGGCGTTTAAGGGGGTCTCTAGAGAGTTGTGCCCTTCTCTGGAGAAACTACGTGCAATGCTCGGGTGTCGTGGTGAGGGGAAATGGTAGGCAATCCCTCCCGCTTTTTTGAGCGGCCACTTGCGACGGGGGTCAGTTAGTGGTAGGCAATCCCTTTGGCCTTTGGACCAAGAGAGGGTTGCTGCATGGGGCTTTGAGAGTCCAGCTTTCCCAAGCTCGAAGATCACCTTTTTGGGCCATCTCCTTGGCCAAGTTTAGACGGCTCTTTGGAAACCGTGCACTCACCTGACATGCTTTTGCACAGGGGAACCCTGTGGGTGGAGTTTTCGGCATGGAAGCTGACCTTGGTTTGTTCTGGGGAATGCCGAATCAACACCACGGAGAATCAGGACTTGGCTAACTACCCCGCAAATAGTTGTTTGCAATTCTTTTCCTTCAGCTGGTTTGGTTCACTCATGTTTGTGAGTTTGCCCATATTCGCCTAGGCCATGTACGGACCTCAGAACCCCCACAATTACGGGCGCCCGGTTCCTCCTTTGGTTTGCCTTTCAATTCAAAATTCATTTTTTGGAAAGCCGTTTTAATTACCGGCAAGCAACAGCTTGCTTTCTTTTTCGGCGAATGAATCCACACTGGTGAGCGACCCAGGGGTGGACAACTGGACACAAGGCCGCGTCTGGTTCAAAGCCTCCCTTCTGCAAGGACCCGGTTTGCCCAACAATGGGCGTGGCTCGTTTTTTTTGAGGCGAAGGGTACCCTTTGCATCTTGGTGCAAAGTTGCGTAAAGGGAAACCAACAGGACAACTGCCATTTTGGGTTCCCCTAGGCCCTAGTTTGATACATGCCCTGATGCTTTGGTCGAGCTTGTTCTGGGATCATCGACTCAGATTCATGGATCAACAGGGAATGCAGCACATTTGCTAGGACCTCCACTATTGGAGGAAGCCACTGCAGATGCACAGGCTCCTATGAATACCGGGATAAACCACCTGCATATTTTTTTGTTCCATGCATATATTGGTTGCACCAGGGGTCTACGACTTTGAGGCTCATGGCAACCCACATTTAAGGATTCCTTGGTTGACTCATGGACGGGGGGGGGGGGGGAAGCCTTTTGGCCATCCGCACGGCAGGGGAAGGAAGAAGGCGAGCAAGCTCCACTTCCCAGTGATCAGGCGGGAGCTGTCTACCGGGCAGAGATCGCCTTGGGTTGAACTCACCATGTAAGTCCTTTATTTGGGAAGTTTTGGGGATGGTTGGAAGTATACCAAAAATGTAGAATCATGTGCAGAGGAGGTTGTATCATTTTAGAAGGTCCGCTATTCACTGATGATCGTCGAAGTGAGGCCAGGTACCCTTGATGTACCCGGGCCGTTGCTTTTGGGAACTTGCGTCAATTTTGCCACACAATGTTCAGGGGGAACTGGTGGGTCTTTCCTGCAGAGTTCTTGAACCTCTATTCGGATTGAACGGCTATCTTGGATTGCACAGTGTGTTAGGGTTTAGGGTTCTGATTTTGGCATGTGCTTGGTAGTTTCTTCAGGCCCAAGAACGGATTACCCTTGCTTTAACACACCTGTTCACATCTTGGAATGCCACTCGGGGGAATCAGCTCGAGCAACCCAGGTGAGGTTTGCTTTCCACAGAGCCCAGTAGAATCCCTCCCCTTTTTATGGCGTTATATGGGTTTGTCTCTACACGGGGAATCCCAAAATTGGATGGTGTCCTTTTTGCCTTAGCAACCCTAAAAAGTGTACCAAGTCAAAGAAGACACCCATATACACATATCTAGGTGGTTGTCTCAATCTCACTTTGTGTGAGGTATTTCCTCCGAGTGGGGTGTTTGGCCAAGAACGGCGGGCCCTCATGCAAAGGAACGGAGATCGTTTTCGGGCCACCAGCATGTGTTTGGGGGGAGGGGAAGACGTGCAGATTACCATGCTTCAGCCAGGGAGCTGCCTAAAATCAATACCCTCAGGCATCCCCAAATCGGCCTGGCGATGTCCGGACATATTTGCCCGAGCAAGAATTCAACAGCTGCTTTGGGGTTTGTCTCAGGTTTTTTGTTTGGCTTCCCCAAGCGAATCGAGCTTCTCACATGATCGCGTATGCAACCAGGTCCTGTAGTGAGGACACTTCTTTTTTGTGGCTCGGTAGAAAATGTTTAACCGACAGGCGCTTGGCTTGATCAAGATTGTTTTTTTTTTTCCAAAAGCTGGGTGGCGGCCATGGAAGTGGACAAGAGGCGTCCTACCAAACCACGCTTGTCCGGTCAAACTTGATGTTCAACCAAAATCGGAACTACAAGGCCTAGGTAATCAGAATATGGTCCTGGGGGTACTTTATAGCCAAATTCAGTGAGGATCATAGGATTTCACGTGTGTAAAATGTACATGGGCTGGTGTTTGGTGTGACCGAATTGTCCCGTAGACCTTTTGGAAACACTTTTGGCTTTTCCATAGAAACCGGCTGGCAAGGAATGTGCCTTGAATGCCCTCACCAAAAAGAAGTTCATTTCCGCTCGAACTTCCCTTTTTGCTTTTGTATTTCTCGGAAGAATGGCCGAATGGCCCCTATGTTTTCAGCTTCTCTCAAACTTTCCTGGGAACCTACAATCAGTTTCCCTCCAATTGGTGCTTTGGACGTGTTTGGTTAATCCACCGGGCACCACCGAGGAACTTCCTGGAGCTTGGGTTGCAGCCCGAGGCGCCGGCTGGACGGAGGTTGTCCGTTTTCGGTGCTTTTTGTGCGTGGGTCGTCGGGGCGTCTTTGTTTGATTTGGGTCCTGGACCCTCAAGATTCCCGGAAAAACGGGTTGTTGCCCCAAGAATATGGGGTGACCCTTCTTTATGGGTAGTTCAAGGGTCCAGGTGCCCTTTTTGGATTTGGGGAACGTGTGTTTCCTTCCTGGATGTGTTGCTCACCAACTGTAGTGCGGCTGTCAAACAAGTTCGGATGTAGGCCAGCTCCGTTTTGGATGCCGTTCGCTTTGCCGCTGCCAGTTGCAGGGATCGGGATTCCCCCTTGTAAAGGGGATGGGCCCACTGGCACCAAGTCTTCACTACATCACTACAACTCCTTTTTTTTGTGGCAAGCACCTGACGGCTTTTCCTGAAGTCGGGCTTTGCAATTGTCAGAGGACAAATCGCGGAAACCTGCAAAGTTCGACTCGAAGTGGTGGCGGGCAATGAAGTACGTAGGATTGGCAACTGCTTCTGGCCCGGTGTGACCTGAAGTTTGGTGGTGTCTTTTGTGGTGAACCGCCGCTTGTCAAGATGCACTCAAAGCTCGGGCGCTGTGTGTCAAAATAGTGTTCTGGACCCCCCTAAGGCGACGATTGTTCTTTGGGTTTCCCTTTGAGCCAACCCAAATCGTTCACACACGCACACAGTTGGGCCCGGGGCAGGAAATCGGGTTTTATGGCCGCATTCTGTAATCCCCAACTACTGTAGTCCGAAGAATGCCCCGCAGTGGCAATACCGAAAGGGTTTTCACAATACTCAATGCGCGGCTTGGATTGGTTTTGGGATTTGACCCCCCTTCCTTCTGCGACCTAAAGGGAATATTGCACGTCCAAACCTACAAAACCAAACCACAAATTAGCATGGCTGGTCTTTGTGACCAAAACGCCGCTACGAGGCCTTTTGAAAACAGTTTTAAGTTTTGGATGAACCCCCCCCCCCTCCGCTTGCGCAGGTCATTGCAGGAGCTGCGCGCTCACTGGGTGCCAGACCCGGACGGAGAAACCCGACTTCCTGTTTCATGCCCGCAATCGGTCGTGTTTTTGTTGAGGGTAGCCTTTTCAGGTTAGTTTCATAGGGGAGTGAAGAGGAAACCACATACACAATAGTATTATTATCCTTATTATTATCACTATTATTATTATTATTATGAGTATGATTATTATTATTGTTACATTTAAAGAAACAACATCTTGATATTATGTTTTTGGAGGGGGTCTATTGTAACAAAGTCGGACGCATGTGTTTTCAGATTTGAAGAGCGGTGCTCTTGGCCTCAAGACGACAAATCTCCAACGGTTGGTTTCCCCGAAAGTTGTTCCAGGACTCTTGAAGGTTCGCCAGGACTTTGAGGCAATGTCCGCATGTTTGTCAAGTTGGAAGCATCAGCTGCAAATGTACACCAAGCAATTCGTGGTGCTCTCCCTAGAGTTGATCTCTCGCAGCCATTCCATGAAAGTAAGGTGTTAAACAGGGATGCTGTGGATTGCGAAATCCGTGTCGCACTTCGAGACCACGGGAAACCATTGTTTATTGGTATTTACGTTGAATCGAAGGATTTCGTGGCCCTTTCCCTTCCATTTCTCGGGCCTTCCGGCGTGACAGCTTAGCTGTCAAGTTGGTGCGGCTCTAGCCTCAACCCCGGGGGAAGCAGCCAGGGCGCCGCGCGCGGCGCCGCGCGCGTCCGGCGCGGATGGCCAGCATGGAGCAGATGGAGCCCATCGCTGGCGAAGCGAAGGGAGGCATTCAGCCGCCCCAGCTGAAGCAGAAGGACGACTGGCGCCTCAAACGTGGGGATTTGGACTGCAATGAGTGGTTGCCCCATGGGTGTTCCGTTTTTTTTTTTTTTTTTTCAAGTGGGGGATCCTCAAAACACAAGCCCGACTTGAGAACTCCCCACTGTTTGTCAGTTGTGTTTGTGCTTTCAGGACGTTTTGCCACAGGGGAGTTGTCTTAGCTCTAGGTACTCCTGGTAAGCTCTGGGAACAACTTTTCGCAACGCACGCGTGCAAATGTGTGTGTGTGTGTGAGTGTGTGTGTGTTTCTGTGTGTGTTTTTCTGTGTGTGTGTGTGTGTGTGTGTGTGTGTGTGTGTGTGTGTGTGTGTGTGTGTGTGTGTGTGTGTGTGTGTGTGTGTGTGTGTGTGTGTGTGTGTGTGTGTGTGTGTGTGTGTGTGTGTGTGTGTGTGTGTGTGTGTGTGTGTGTGTGTGTGTGTGTGTGTGTGTGTGTGTGTGTGTGTGTGTGTGTGTGTGTGTGTGTGTGTGTGTGTGTGTGTGTGTGTGTGTGTGTGTGTGTGTGTGTGTGTGTTTTTGTGTGTGTGTTTTTGTGTGTGTGTGTTTTTGTGTGTGTGTTTTTGTGTGTGTGTGTGTGTGTCTGTGTGTGTGTGTGTGTTTTTCTGTGTGTGTTTTTCTGTGTGTGTTTTTCTGTGTGTGTTTTTCTGTGTGTGTTTTTCTGTGTGTGTGTTTTTCTGTGTGTGTTTTTCTGTGTGTGTTTTTCTGTGTGTGTTTTTGTGTGTGTGTTTTTCTGTGTGTGTTTTTCTGTGTGTGTTTTTGTGTGTGTGTTTTTCTGTGTGTGTTTTTCTGTGTGTGTTTTTCTGTGTGTTTTTCTGTGTGTGTTTTTGTGTGTGTGTTTTTCTGTGTGTGTTTTTCTGTGTGTGTTTTTGTGTGTGTGTTTTTCTGTGTGTGTTTTTCTGTGTGTGTTTTTCTGTGTGTGTTTTTCTGTGTGTGTTTTTGTGTGTGTGTTTTTGCGTGTGTGTGTTTTTGTGTGTGTGTTTTTCTGTGTGTTTTTGTGTGTGTGTTTTTGTGTGTGTGTGTTTTTCTGTGTGTGTTTTTGTGTGTGTGTGTGTGTGTTTTTCTGTGTGTGTTTTTCTGTGTGTGTGTGTGTTTTTCTGTGTGTGTGCTTTTCTGTGTGCGTGTGTGCGTGTGTGCGTGTGTGTGTGTGTGTGTCTAAGAGGACACCCCAAAAAATGCTTTGGTTTTACTGGTGGTTTCCTTTCAGCCAAGCTAAACGAGAATTTGAGCCCCTAACAAACACAGTATGGCCATGATTCCCCTGGTTTCGCTGAGAATTTCAAGCTCGTCCCCCATATCCCTTCTAACTGAGCCAGCCCTTCTCCCCAAAAAAGAGAACCCACCGCTGCTGGGGGAAAACAAAGGACCAAGGGTAAACCAAACCCAGACGACCGGTCCCGGAACCAGAGGACCTGCAGCAGCGGGGCCTGCTTTCCTTGTCGGATAGCGAGGGCCTCGCGCAGCTGGTTTTCCACTTGGCGCTGCTGGCCTTTGGCGGGTCTTTAGTTCTTTGGGCCTATGACACCGGCAGGCGCTGACGAAAAACATGGCGGGTGTGGGTTGATGTTCATATTTCGTGTCTCAAAATGAGTTGGACGGGTTCCTCCAGGCTTCCTTTTGGTTTCCATTTATTGAGTGGCTTTTTCTGTAGCCGAATGGGTGGCGACTTTCGTCAAATTGTTTCCCAGCCGAAGTGGGAAAAGCAAGCGCTCCCACTGGGAATGGATTCACGTCTTAAGGGGTTCGAAGCTTCTGAATGGCCTCCGGGAGGGTAACCCAGATTTCTTACCTCTAGGTTTTCCATGGTTTTCCCATGGTAACCTAGATATTCATGGTAATGGAACCATCAACAACCCCCTTGCTAACTACGATGTCCCATTTAAGCGGGAATCCGCTACTGGGGAAACCCCTCTTAATCTGCCAGGTTGATTAATCCGCGGTCAACATTAACCCGAAATTCACACCACCGCTAAAACAAACACTCTTTGCCTAAGGAGTTTCATCATCCAAATTGGGTCAACCATTCTTTTAGGGGTGGTTGAGCCCTAGGGTTAACTTTACATGATTCGAATGCGTGTTTTCCGACCCACAACCAAGTAAACTGTTTGCGGGGGCGCTGTTGCCACGATTTCGGACGAGTAAGTCACGGTTTGGTTGCCATAGTGGCAACCCAAAGTTGTTTTCGCTTGTTGCTTGCCGATCCACTAGATCGGAAGCTGTCGATGGGTTGCCCTTCGTTAGTTGGTTTGGATTGAAAAACTTGAGCCCTGTCGCGGTCTGGGAAGCCACCTCCCGGGCCCTGGAACAGATATCCGCCTGTTCACAACTTTGTTGAAAAGACAAACCATGAACACCGCCAGGTCAACCCCCCGTGTTCACCTTGTTTTTTTTCAGGGAAGCCAGCAGCAAACCGAAGCCTTGGGGCGGTGCAGACGACTTGAGGTGGCTGTGGCTTTTGGTGTTCGAACTCCTTCTCGGTGTCACGGAGTCCTTCCTCTTCAACGGCTTCCACGAGACTCGGAGAATCGAACCGGGCGAAGCGATCGATCCACCGGACCGCTGGTGTTCCCGCTTTGGCAGGCAACTGGTTGGGAGGGAAGCTCGTTTTTTTTTTGGTTTGTTTTTTTCTTGTCGGGGTGCTTTGTTGTGAGCGTACCCTCTTTTGCTTAGTTGATTTTAAAGGAAAGCCAACAGGAAACCGAAGCCCATCTTGTGGTTCCCCTGTTTGAGATGTTGAAACCTCCAGATCCCCCTATTTTGAAACCCAAAGGGCAACCGAGCAAGGGCAACAAATGCCATTTGATGGATATCAGGGTTCAAATGAATGTTTGAGAACCACCAGCACCGCGATGATGTGTTTAAATCTTCAAGTTCTAATAACAAAACCGTCATTGTGGTTGGGGGGGTGGTAGCTAGCCGAGCAAAGCAAACCATCTAAGCAAGCCCTTGGGGTTCAGGTGCTACGTCCATCCGTACCGGATTTGTTTGGCAGCCAAGCGATCGTGTTTAAACATGGAACTGACCGACTGTAATGATTACTTTGATCGCTTAATTAGCCTTTCTTACCAATTTGCTTATAATATTGCTTGGACAGTCTATTTACCAATTTCGTGCTAAGCACATGCTCGAGACTGGCACCTGAGCCACCAAGTAGACGTCAGAGGATCCCATTGAAACAAGGCGCCAACATTGTCTGGATCGAGGTCCAGTTTCAACAAGTAAACCCCCTTTCAGCAAGTCACCTTTTGGTCTCTACTTTTGAAGTGAGTTCACTTTTTTGTTTAAGGCCAAATTAGAGGGAGCCCTGTTTCTCTCAGGAGATGGTGCACAACACCGCCTTCGAGAGCCGATGGCTGAACCATATCCGGCAGCTGGCAAACGGTTTCGTCGGAGGCATTTTTGGTCGGTGGGGTCCTTTCATCTTGAAAAGGATGTTTGATGTTTGTTTGGTTCACGCATATTTTTGTGGGTTGCTCTTTGTGTGCCCCTGTGAATGCATGCAATCCTGCACTAGTTTCGATGGATAGGCCCTGATTCATGAGACAAACTTGGTGCGACACAGATTTTGTCCATCCACATTGTGTTCTGGGTTCAGTTCGTGGTTGGGCATGAACACCGCAACGAGGGCGATGGCAAAAACCGCCGAAGAGATTTGTACCAAAGCTGGAGCACCTATTCAACGTCTCGTTCTCAAGAGGATGCGATTGCGACACCAGCAACTTGTTTGGGATGTGGCTACCTTCCTGGAGTGTTGGGCTGAGTGCTTGCAGATGGAATGGGGGCTACCTCACCATACATATCCCCTTTGCATTTTTTGTAGAAGAACAACCTGCGGGAGGGCGGCTTGATCTCCCACTAGACCCAATCTTGAGGGCATGTTGAATTGACCGTAGTGTAGGCCCCATGCAAGTGACATCCTCGAAATGGTTGCTACATGATCGTAGAAATGCAGATTTCGGTCTGGCTGAGGCTCACATTCCCAGCTCACCTTTTCCTTAAAAGGTTTCCCTGGTTTCCCGAGGGTTCCGAACGGTGATCACCTTAAAGCTGCCCATTTCGGCTGTATTGGCTCCAGTTTTTAGGTGAGTCACAATCAAAACCGGGTAAGCGAAGGTAAGTACGGGACAATCCCAACCATAAATAGCTTCGGAGATCCGCCTTCTTAATTCTTGGCATGGTTCTGGGACAACGACCATTATAAAATACGGGTTTTTATTATGACTCAGGTGTGGTCCCATCCAGTTACTGAATCAGCCATGGTTGTTTTTCCTTTAAAGGTTTCCCTGATTTCCATAGTCCAGAAGGGTTTCCCTGGTTTCCTGACGGTTCCCAACGGTGATCACCGTAAGGCTATCCAGGTCCCATCCCGGGGGTGGATTCCCTTACTTTTGGAAACCAATGGGCCAAGGTTTACCCCCAAAAAAAATCTCAGAGCGGCAGTTTCGGCTGTGGCTCCAGTTTTCAGGTATCCCATCCACTGAAGCAGCCGCAGCCATGGTGATTTTTGCCTGGTAAGGAACACCATCTTCGCGCACGTCCTGGGCTTCGAGAGCTTCCGCGGCGCCAAGTGGTTCTGGCAGCCCGGCTGGAGACGTCAGAAGCCCTCAGAGCTGAACAAAAGTCAGTTTCCCAGGGACAAATCTAGCTTCGCTGGCCGCTTTTTGCTAAAGCTAAACATTTGCTTCCTGCCAAAGCAGCAATTGGCGAGTTTTAGTTGCAGATCTAGCTCTTGGAAAACTATTCTGTGGCCAAGGGGAATCTGAAGAATCCCCAAAACCTCACTTTTTTGAGTTGCTGCATGCTGGGGCCAATGATCCAGGTGGCATTTGTTTGCAGAGAAGTGGACAAGGCTCTCGTTTTTATCAGGCGTTCCTGGACTTGACACTTTTTGGGAAGACCAGTTTATCGGCAAACACCAGTTTGGACTTTTTCTGGCCAATCCACTCAGGACGTGAGACACGGTTCCTTCCCAAAGCCGGGAAACAAATCCCTGAGGTTTGAGCAACAAGAGGCTCTCCATGGCCTTTTCCTTTGCTTCGCCCTTGCTTTTTGCTGGGGTGGGGGGGGAGGTCCCATGAAAATCAAGGCCACCTCAAAACAAAAAAAGCAAAACTGGAGCCATGGATGCAGCCTAACCGCGAGTTTCCTTGCTGGTGCTCAGCAGGGAATTCGGAAATGAACCCTATCAACCATCCCCTCTGGTTTCCTTGAAGGGAGTCCACAGGTTCATTCCCTCATTCCCTCATTCCCTCATTCCCTGATTTCCTGATTTCCTCGTTTTCTGGTGAGCACCAGCAAGTTTTCCCCACAACTCACCCAGTCAACTTTTTCAGATTCCCAGAGGATGTAACGGGCTCCAGCGAGCCGTTTGAGGTGCTTCCATTGGACCCACCACCGCTTCACCAACGACCCCTCGAAGGACCCCGAGCTCTCGGGGGGATCTGTGGACCTGGACGATCCCACCACGTCTTTGTACGGCTACCTGCGACTGGGCAACGAAAACACCTGGTTTTGAACGTAGGTGGCCCCTTCATGTTTGTTTCCCTAGCAAAACCAAAAGGGAACATGAGTTTCCTGGGGGTTTTCGCTTTATCTGGGATCCACTGGGTCAGGAAAGCAATCCCAAGCTGCAAGGGATCCTTTAGGGTGACTTTTGTACAGACTCATAATGCCGTGGAAAACTGAGCGATCCCCCCCATCCAACCCGAGCTACCCAAGTGCAAATCCCCATAACTAGATGGAACTAGCATAGGGTTCACCCACTATTTGACTCTCCCAATCCCTGCCCTCGGAATGCAGTGCTTCCAGTTGCCATTGTAATGTAGTCTGGAATCAACTGGAAGCCCAACCCCAAGTCAACCCTCTTGCAAGCCCTTATTGGTAGGATTAGCCATTTGACTGTAGCCAATTCTTACCAATCCAACGATGGCTGTGTGTTGTTGAGAGTACCCGAGTTGCCCAACTTGGGGGGTTGTGCAAAGGAAGGCAAAGCCTGGGCTCCCCAATCCAATTTTCAGACAAGCCCGCCGGCAGCACTTCGTGGTGCACCACTTGATCAGACTTTTCACGCTCCTGAAGGCCTGAAGGTACGGGGATACGATCCCCTCCCCCCAACTCCATTCAACTTCCAACGTGTTGCGCCTGCAACATGTCACATGTGGCTGACCAACGCCGAACATGGAGATGTGTGGGAAGGTTTGTAAAGGTTTGCCAATTTAATTAGCAATCACCCCCCCAGCTGTTGCTTTGCGAACCTGACCCTTCCATGGCACACTTAGTTGCAATGAGCGAGGCTGCAAAGCAAGGCAAAAATCGTCCCCATTCACACCACAAAGAAAAGACAAACCCAAATTTGTAAACTTACAGCCACACAGACGGAACTTGGAGCCCAGTTTGGTGTTGCCGTGGAGCTAAGCCCTATGGGATTCAGGCAGTTCATCGATTTCTCCCCAGACCCCATCTGCCAACATGCGGCTTCATGTGCAATCCCCCAGACGCTCATGGACTCTTTCAGGGAGTGGCCGACCCCTCTCAGCTCCTTTTTGAAGGCTCCAGGACGCGTGAGCCTTTGGCTCTCAGATTTGTGGGGGTATTCAGATTTCGCTTGCTCGTTGTTTTTCTCCGAAAAGCAAACATCGACATCTCTGTAGCTGGGTTTGTATCAAAACCACCACGGAGGACCCCCCCCCCTCCCCCCAAAAAAAGCACACACACACACAACACACAAACAGCAAAAAGCATGGCGGTGTGCCTGTTGGTTTCCCTTGAAGCCTTTTTTGCCCAGAAAGGCTACCAGCAAACAAAAAAACACATGTGGTGTGCCTCGCATGGAAGCTGAGGCAGTTCATCAGCGGGTACCCCTTCGGCTTCGAGCGCGTGGCGCGCATGGCGCGCATGGCGTTTTTGCAGGAGGTGGACCCCTGGGTGGCGGAGAAGCCGCCAAATACCCAGCGCGCCGTGCGCCTGGAGGCGGGAACATGGACATGGGGAACATGGGAAACCAGTGGGTTTCACTTTAATGAAATTCTCGGAAGTTTTGATTCCAGTGGGTTGAAGCCCCCTTTTTCCCCTCTCGCGGCCGCTCTCGGAAAGAATCGGTGTTTTCCCACCAGAAACAAACCTTACACGCAGCATCACGAAGTGAGGCGCGTTGCTACCTGACTGGCTACTGCCTCTTGGGTTTGGGGGGGCTCTGCTGGCCGGGGTCTGTGGGGAAGCGCTTGGTGCTGCTGTGGCTGGTGCCGCACTGCCTGGGCGCAGGCCACCTCAGGCGCGGTGGTGGGGTGGGGTGGGGGTTGAGTGGAGGAGGCGGTGGGGGCAAATTCTCTGGAAAATCATTCCAAAAAGGGTCCCCTCAGGAGAGACTTGTTTGAAGCCATGAGGGATTGCCAAGATCTCGCGAGCTGTCAAGCGATCTGATGGGCTCCGTTTGAGCGACGGTGAATATGTACCGTCACGTACTGAAAAGGTTGGGTGCAGAAGCACAACAACTCGGGAGATGGGACGACTCACCCAAATGTAGCTCATATGAAATGTTCACCAAACCTAAAAAGCACATACCATTCTCAGAGCAGACACTTTTTGGGAAAAGGGCGGATTTCTGGGACTGGTTCTCATTTGTAGCTGCTTCTCAAAAATCTGGGCTTCAGCCTGGTTTTCGGACAGAAAATCTGTAGGTCTCATTAACGGTTCTCAGCCATCCCCGTAGGTGTGTAGGTTTTTGTGGTTCATTGGGGGTTTGCATGTAACCCACAAGTTAAGCTTGGAGCAGATCTGACAGCCCAGTTGGGTGGCCTAAGTTTCATTCGCACCAATTGCTCTGACGACTCATGAGCCGGCCTGCGAGCTTAGATCACATCGCTCGCGTCTGCAAACAACTCGCATCCAGTGCAGGGGTTGCTCCGACGAAGTGGAAAGCTGGAGTCGTTCCACGCCAACAGAGTCAGAACTCGGGAAAAATAATCTAAGACTGACTTCCTTTAAGTTCAATTGTGCCGATCTGCTCCAGCAACGATGTGCGTTGTTTGTTTTTTGGTTGGTCCAAAGAAGGAGTCTCCTGAGTCAGGTTCATTCAGCTAGTGCTTCATTTTCTGAAGGCAATCTCCTCATGTTGCTGTTTGGGCCGCCCAGAGATGACTCGTTGGCTAATCGTTTTACAGTGTAATTTTACAGGGCAAGCTGGATTGAAGGGAGCACACCTCCTGTGAGTGGCTTTGCCATCGAAGACTAGCATCAAGCAAGCCGGTCGCAAACTTGGTTTTTTCCTTCTGGAGATCCAGTTTTCAGAGGCCGCTCAGCGTAATCAACAAATGGAAGTGTTGGCTGATGTGACTCCCTCGGCATTGGGATCTACGTAGAAGCAAGGCAATCTCTCTGTTCCTTGGCAGGTTCATTTGTTTCAAGCATTCCAAAAGAAACAAATAGCACCGCCTTGGTGTCGGAATTGGCTCAAGGAGAACCTTCTGCTGAATGGCCCCCTTGCATGGGTTCCCAATCCCATATGGGGGACCCAAGGTGAGTTTATGCAACAGTTGCCCTTTGGTTCCCCGCATCCAGTGAACCCTCTCTGCTTGGCACTGTTACCCACCAATTGGTTTCTCTTCAACAACCGTACGCTCAACAAGCTCACTTCCTGAGTTCCGCTTAAAAGTTGGCTACTTTTTGGGTTTGGACTGGTAAGCAAAAAGCATAAGCTTTTCTTGGGCAGTCAAGTCTAGTGACCTGTTGTTTAAGGCGTGGGGTGTGTCCATGTGAGTAGCTTGGTGCGTTTTGGCGGCATCCTATCTGGCTATGGACGTCCACCAAGGGGTCCCCTAGAGTTCACGAGCCCACTTCCTGGACTTTGAGAACATCAGTTTTGGGAGCGAACCAACACCTGTTTCTTTGTCGATTCCCCCCAGAGCAAAAACCGACCCCCAGAAACAAAATCAATCAATGGTGTATCCATTTTGAGACTCCCCCCTCCCCCCAAAAATGACAACCAAACATGGAAATCCAACAAAAAGCCTTTTTGTTTTTGGTGCGAGCGGCCAAATGGCTGCCTCAGGCTCTACCAGTTTGCGGAGCACCGGGCCTGCAAGATGGGCAGTTACACGGAGACCAATGCCTGGATTTGCGCCAGGACGACCACCACCTGGCCGGGACGGTTCCGGGCACGGGGGGGCGCTTGGCGGATGAGAAACGGACGGGCGGATTTTCGGGCACCTTCTTTGGGGGTACGTGTTTTTTTGTTTTGTTTCCTCTCTCTTTTTTTCCGACAGAGGGCACCACCCAAATAGTCGGCAGGAGACCTGCGGTGTAAGGGCTCAACTTGTACCCCTTGCAATCTTTATATCTGAGAATGGTGTTTTGTTTTGCCTTGGACTAGTTCGGCAAGTTTCGAGCGATACCCCTCTTCCCCACATATAGAGACATTTTTGGATTGTATACACCGGGAGTTGTCACAGAAGACTTGGCCGGCTCTTTGGGCGGCTCTGAAACGGGTCGGGATTGTTGTTGGCTGTGGGTTTCAATAGGGAACCACCTTTTAAGTTCCCCACCGAAATTTGATGTCTGCTTTCAATTATATCACCCATTTGGGTTTTTCTCCTTGTGGTTTCCCCTGTAAACCTGCCACAAACCACCCAAACAAGGCTCGCGCGAAAAAGGATGAGCCACCCATTTGGAGACGCATTCAGTTCAGGTGGCTCTACCGGAAGCTGGCCTGGCAGATGCCTTTCCACGTGGAGCACCACGCCTGGCCGAACGTGCCCTTCCACCAACTGGAGGTGGAGCTCCCATCGGCTCAGGGCTCCGACCCCGTACTGGTAGCTGCGGATATGGCTGCGGTTCCCGTTTTATAGGACCCCAACATGGAGTTCTGTTCAGCTTTGTGTTCGGGGAACACGATGATAACAGGAAGCGCTGGGACTCATATTGGGAGGCTTGGATGCTTACATACACCCAATATCTGATAAAGCAGCACAGAACCCACATAAGTTGTATATAAGCTGGAAAGACCCTTGACCATTTCTTTAAGACCACTGTCAAAGTCACCCATGGTAGGCAATGGTAGGTCAAGGGAAAGCACCAATTCCCGTTTCTGACTTTACCACAAAAAACAACTCTCAAAATAAGGACCGTCAAGGGCCACAAAACTTTCGAGGGGGCCTTCCTGCTTCCTTCATGTCACATCTTCACCAACCCAGGTGGCCATGGTTCAAAACCAATGGTACCATTTTGGGATAGGCGCACCACTCATTTTAGTCTATTTTAGTGGGGATTGGGATGTTCACTGGGGGTACAGGATTTTGACCCATGGACAGGTGAGTGGGTAAGGGCATCCGAGCCACTTACCATCCGAGCCACAGCCCTTTGAGCCGTTTTCATTGCGCGGTGCATTCCCCGCGAGGCGGCCCACGAGTTGGCGCGAAGCGCTTTTGCGAAGTCTGGGATTCCGAGTGCGCCGAGCGGGTGCCAGCCGGACGGGGAGAAGGGGCGCCTCAGACGCCGCGAGCGTTTGGCTCCATCTCCCCGGAAAGTGGAACCCGTCCGAATGGGGGGGAAAATGTTGAAAAACGCTGCAAAAGGACAACATGGTATGTCTCACTTTGCTTAATCTTGGCCCATGATGAATACCCCCCCTCAAGGTCGACCAGGTCCGGGAAGTCCAGATTTTGAAAGGTCCCCCATAACCGCCATGAATTGGGGTCCACGGATGCCTTTGTCTGTTTGTTGCTTTCGAGATTGGGATTGGATCCGAAGGAGTTCTTCACGGTTCTTAAGCCTTTCCCATCGGGCGGTTTGGTGGTCTAGCTGTTTAAGTTGTGTGGTTTGTCGGTTGGCTTCTCCCTACCCAAACAAGCACTGTTTGACAAAAAAGACAACATGCAACAGCCGTTGTGTGTTTGAAATGGGGGTCTTGTAAGACCCGATGCCGGTTTCTCTAAACAACCAACGCAACCCGTTCGGCTTATTCGATTTCGATGGCCCTTTGTGCAGGTCCATTGTCATTCTCGAGTGAGTGTCCCTTGAACATGACGGTTGTGGTTCTAACCAAAACGAGGATGCCCTGGTCCCAAGCTCACTGAGTCGCTGGCCAGGGTGGTTGGGTCTTTGTTCTGCTTGGGGCTGGTGGGCAAAATGTATTCAAGCAAGCAGACCCTACCTTCGAAGAGAGCGTTGAGGGATGCTGAAAGTTGACAGGGTAGAGATTGAGTTTGGTTCTTGTTTTTCCCTTCAACCAAATATGTTCCCCCACCTTTTGTTCAATAGCAACCTTGAACCCCGGCAGTTGACCCAAAATCACGACCCGTGTTTTGTTGTCCAGTTCTCCTTGTTGTGTCGTCTTTCTGGCGAAAGGGTGCCTATCATTTCTCTTTCCCACTGACATCCACACAAGAAAGAGGGCCTTTCCATCGGGCTGAATGGACAACTGGCGGGTTGCAGATTGCAGATTGCCCCACGGGTCGGGGACGACACGAATCGAGGCTTTCTCTGGGCTCTGGAAGGACCTCTAAGCGTAGAAAGGTTCTATGAGCTTTTGAACCGGGGCGGAAGTTTCAAAGATGTAAGGGCTGTAGTTTGGAGCGAGCGTATTTCCTTCCCTCTTTTTTTTTCTCTCTCTCTCTCTCTCTTTTGAAATGTTCTTTTTCTCGTTCACTTTCTCTTTCTCGTCCTTTTTCGTTTCTTCTCTCTCTCGCTCTCTCTCTCTCTCTCTATTTCTTTGTCTTTTTCTGTTCTCTCTCTCTCTCTCTCTCTAAGGAAAAGCAAGGCCGCACCGCTCATTTGTTGGGAGGTCACCTCTTGTTTAGTGCGGTATGTGAACACAAGCAGAAACCCACCACGCACGGATGGGCGAACAGTACCGCTGGCTTGGCTTCGGCAAATATGGTGATTTTTTCTCAAGATACCGGAACGCTTTTTGGATGGCTTGAAGCGAAGCCAGAAGGAAACCACCTACCTGGAGCCGTTGTCTTTCTGAGGTACCTAAACCTCCATTGGGTCATGTTCAAGCGCATGCTCGAGAACACCTTCACCAAGGTCAAGGCATGAGCGATGTGGATCGTTTATATGTACAAACGGCGGTTGACCCGAATGGGATCTAGCAAATGAGTTCCGAAATTGGACACAGATCTTTTGTCCATTCGGTGTTCTGCTGAAGCTTGTTGCTTCATTCCTGAAGCATGTGTAAAAAAACATAGATTTGGAGGAACCTCGTTTAATAGAACCCGTTCAAGGTCCCTGAGAGAGCTGAACGAGACTGCTGGCCAAGACGGCCGCAAGAGAAGGCGCCCATTCTGCATTGTTTGCAGCAGGGCAAGCCAGACCGCCAGTGGGGTCCTGGGTCCTTTGAATCATCATGATGAATCGGCAAAGAATCTGCCCTTTTCTTCGCGTGTAGCCACTGGGGGCCTGAGGCAAAGGGGCGGTTGCGTAAGGTTGGGGCAAATTGTGGGTTGCCTGGAGGATAGTTGCAAAGCCAGGACTACAACAGAACATGGCGCACTTTAGCCCAACGTACAACTAATGTCTAGTAGCAGTTAATGACCAGCCATCACTACCACTAGTTTCAATCTTGCTTTGCAGTGGCTAGCGTAAGTAGCCAAATCATTGCTGATGGTGAACACCATGAGCCTGTCACACATGAGTTGTTTGAAGCACCCCACCCCATTCTGATCAAGCTTCATTTGCCTCGCCGTCGGCAAGATTTCTGGGTGCATGATGGAGTCATGACGCAAGATGCCCCGCTCCTCAGGTTTTGGGGGGGCCGCTTTCACGTCTGTGAGTGGTCGGAGTGGAATCCCCTGTTATTAATTTCCCCAACATGGTTTGTTGCTGTTCTGGTAATCCTAAATCAAACCATTTGGATTCCTAGATCAGTGGAATTTGTTCACTAAGTCCTGTCATTTTCTCACCCACTGGAGATCCCCCCCCCCATCTTCATTTTTCGGAGATTTCTGCCAAAGCTGGCCATTGGGACGCCTCTCCTGGAAAAGCCGTTGTCCATCTCCGTGCCTGATGCACAGCGCGCTGACTGCGGAGTCCAAAATGGAGAGCTCTGACGAACGGCTTGGGAGTTGTTCGTGCCAACTTCAGGTGGCAATGATGTTTAAGAGCTGGGACTGCAAAAGTGGATGTGGGAGTCATGCCCACTTAAATGATACCCATCAAAGCGTCCTCCACTAAAATTCACACCCATGTAGAGGAAATGGGCTCTCACGTTGCCACTTATTATCTTGCAAGCGGCCAAGTGAATCCCATGAGTCATAAAGTAGTCATAGGGATGGCGGAAAGGGTTGATTTAACCATGCTTAGCTTCGGATGAAGTCTGAGGACCCTTCCAGTCTTTGCCTAAAGCGAAAGTCCCGCTTGTCCCGCTAAATCCGAAGTTCACATGGGCCAGAAGTGGTTCCCCTAAGAAATCCAGGGCAGCTCCTTTGAATACTATGGTCCCTCGGAATCGGAACTTCACATGTAGGTGCCCTTTTTAGGCAATTTTGGTTAGAAATAGATGGCACTGGTTTAGATTGATTCTATTCCACTTAACAGGGCCAGCCATGTTTCAAAAGGTCACCAATGGACATGTAAAATGTAGTTGGGCTGAGCATGGCAAAACTCTTGTCAGGCCCCTTCAATGCAGGCGGGAGTCTACATTTACTAGAAAGATCATGGGTGTCAACTCGAAATGGGCACCCTCAACAAAGAGACAAATGTTCGACTGCTCGGCAGTAAGGGAGGGGGTAGGGGTTGGGCGGCGGGGCACACATTGTGGCCTTCTCAAATGAGTTTGGAGGTTGCCTTTAAACATGGCAAACAACTCCAAGTTTGGCACCATTTTCATGGCAAACAACTCCAAGTTTGGCACCATTTTAACGGCAAACCTCCAAGTCTTTGGTATCATTATCACGGCAAAACTCCAAGTTTGGTGACTTTTTGTATGGCCAACGTCCAAGTTTGGTCCCATTTTCATGGCAACACCTCCACGTGTGGTTACTTTTTTGGCCCAACGTAGGAAGCGCTTCGTCTCTGCGCCGATCTGTTGGACTCCGCGGCCGTCGTTCGGGTCGTTTCCGGGTCCGAGGCCTGGACCCCCGAGAGAACCCGCAGGCGGTGGAGCTCATCACACCGGCCCCGGCCGGGGCCACACGGGGCCCAGCAGTTCTGGGGGGGGGGCGACCAACTTCCACTTTGCAAGGCTGAAGCGAGGGGACACGCCTTCTCATATCGTGGTCCTAGAGTTTCGCAATTTGGGCTTGGCGCAAGAATGGAAACCGTGTACCCCACTTGTTGAGGTTCTTCTCTGGGGTGGACACCTCCCGGAGATTCAACTATTTCCTCTGTTTTTTGGGTGGGGATGCATGTCCAACTTCTTGAATCGGGGGGTTCCACATTTGGACCAAATTCGACGTGAGTCTCTTCGAGGGCTGATGTTTAAAGTGGAAATATTGAGACCCCTGATATACGGGTGTGTTGCTGGGAGAGTACCCTTCTTTCAGGCTTGTTTCAAGGGAAACCTATACCCATGTGGATACAATTTCGACGCCAGTTGCTCCAGTTGGGATTGGTGGCTTGTCCCATTCATAGGGCTTTATCCGTTCCCACTGCGAAGTGGATATGTCCATCCACGAACCAACATGGGAACTAAAGAAAAACCACCGTGCCTCTTCCTTCGACCTATGGAACCGGGTCAGTCGAACCCCCAAATCAACGGAAAGCGCCTCCCATTTTTAGGACCGGACTCCTTGGAATCGGACCCACAAAAATGGGTTCCGTCCGCAAATTTGTAGGGGAGTAACCAGAGACCGGCGATTGTCAACCTCGGATTCTTCCAGAGGATCGAAGGAGAAACATGAAGGGCCAACCATCCCAAGCAACCCGATCAGCCAGCCAAACAAAATCAAACACCCCAAACAAGCAAAGCAAAGACACAAAGAAGGCAAGAGCAAATGATAAGACGATCTTACACAAAACAAAGCCAGCAGCAGACAAGCAAACGATCAAACAAGCAAGCAAACAGGCAAGATAAACCAATCCTTGCAAATAAACATACGAGCAAATTGTGGCATAAATCATATTAAAAAAACAACTCCGCCAGCAATCAACGCAGAAAGACCAACCCAGCCGACTGCCACGAGGTGCAGCAGGAGTCCATCCCTCGTCTGCTAGAGGGCGACAACGTGGCTGGGCACCTCAAGCGAAGCGGCGGGCGCATTGCAACAGTTTCCGCCAAAGCACCCTATGGGGGCATGGATTAATAGGTTGGTCTATACTTCCATGTATTGTGAACTTGTGTTAGTTTGCCATCGGGGTTTGCCCAGTTTGTGTGGTCTGCGAAACTCCCCAAACATGTGGCCCCTGCCTAATTGGAACCCTGACACTCTGCCAGCCACTTTTGGGTCCTTTCCAGGGGCGGCTGCGGTTGCATGAGGATTCAACAGAAGTGGCGCTCTGCAACGTTTGCAAACAGGACTAAACTTGTGCCGCGAGCTCTGAAATCTATACTCAATTCGAGGTAGGACGTGCAAAGTTCCAGGAAAAGCTCGCTGACTGTTTCTTGGTAGGACAAATGACACGTTAACCTGTTGGAACATGATGCAGGTTGCTGCACAAAATATCAGCACCGGACCTCTTGACCACGCACCAGAGAGTCCTCTAGCTTACATCTTCAGCAGGCAAACTTTGAAGCTTGTTCTTAGGTGAGGTCGTTGTAGCCTACGCCCAAAAGTTCAAACTGCATCCGGCCCGTCAACCAGCCAAACAAGGGGAGCCATGGATGCCGTCAGAGGTCATCGCTGCGGAGACCGGCTCGGGCAAGAGCCTTGCGCGCGGATCCCGGATGGCTTGACGGTGGATGAGTTTCTGCGGTAAGTGGGAAGAACACAACATGAGTTTTCTGACCCGCAAAGAGGTGTGATGAATCTCAATCTGTGTCCTCCACCCCCCAAAAAAGGCACCCTTGTGAGAGAAAAGCATGGTTGCGGGGGTTGGTTGCAAGCTTTGTTTGAGCTAGCAGACCGTGGTTCCTTGTCGAAGGAACACAAAACGAGATAGTTTGATTAATTGTGGTTCAGGCATTATGGTGTACAAGGCTGACAAGAACTCGTAGGGGTTATATTGGAAATTTCTCAAACCTTCGGAACCAATTTCCTCAGGCCGTTTGGCTTGCCCTAACCTCCCACGGGGTCCGACACTTTAATCCATTTGAGAATATCCCATGAAGGGGGTATTTTTTTCTTTGGGAGTCCAGGCATGCCTCAGTCCCGCACATGTATGCTTCGCGCCGTTTTACAGATCACCTTTTGGCGCGTAGTTTGTGTTTCCCCTTGATGTTAGATTGGACACATGAGTGTGCATCTTCACTTGGGGAGTGGACATGATTGGGATTCCTATCCCACCTTTGAGGTGGTAACCAACTCTGAGATCGTCGCCATGGGAGCCCTGCGGTTTCTGTCCTTTCTCTGCTCTGCTGGAAGCACAGGTACATGCTGCCCATGGTCCAGACCGTGCGCAAGCTGGCGAAGGCGAAAGGGCCTCCCAGTCAAAGAAGCCATACATGGACGGCCTTCGTTGGAGCAACATGCACAGATTGTCAGACATACGTGTGTATTTAATGTGAAATGAGCTATTTGGACACCCGCCATGCAAATGCATGGTTGTTTTATAAGGTCGTACTCCATTCTTACAACGAGTGTTCATTTTCACTAATGTTGCTACTTTGATTTGCATCAAATTAGAAAGCTCAAAAGTGTGAATGGTGTTTGAGCATAAGCCATTTGCGGCTCGGCGGATACGAATCCTGAACAGCTGGAGGCGCTGACCAAAAAGAAGCGGGAGCCCCTCGTGGTGAAAGCCGTTCCTTCCACATGACTCGTTTGCCGAAGAAGCACATTGATCATTGGGGAAGAAGGTATGTACAAGGGGTTATACGATATTTGCCCTCAATCTAGGATTTGGGTCTGCAAGGTAGATACTTGTTCACTTGATGTGTTTGTGTAGTGTGTCAGTATGACCATTCATTGGAAATGGAAGCTGGACACCTTTTATGGTGAGGG